CCTCTGCCTCCCGAGCCTCTGAGATTACAGGAGTGCGTCTATGACACAATTTTTGCCACAAATATTTTCTTTTTTTCCCCTTTTTGATACTGGGAACTGAACCCAGGGGCACTTAACCATGGAGCCACATCCCCAGCCCATTTTAAAACTTTATTTTACTTATTTATTTTTATGTATGAATGTATGTATGTATTTTTATGGTGCTGAGGATTGAATCCAGTGCCTCACATGTGGTAGGCAAGCACTGGACCACTAAACTACAAACCCAGCACCCCCACCAATTTTTATATTGTATTTGGAGACAGGGTGTTGCTAAGTTTCTTAGGGCCTCGCTAAATTGCTGAGGCTGGCTTTGAACTTGGCAATCCTCCTGTCTCAGCCTCTAGAGCCACTGGGATTATAGGTGTGCACCACCATATGCAGCTGCTCCAAATATTTTCAGTCTACAGTTAGTTGAATCTTTGAGTATTGAGAGCTGACTGTATCATTTCTTTTCCCCATTTTTACTTGTGATAGTGTGCAACACATACTTTCTTCTATTGTGGCAAAATATACATAAAACTCACCATTTTAACAGAAAAACATAGCAACATAAAATTACATTAATATAACGACATAAAAACATCAATACAAAACCACAAAATCATGTTGATATAGTAAAATGACATAAGAACATAATATAAAGTTAATCATTTTAATCCAGGAGTGGTAATGCATGCCTATAATCTCAGCTCTGAGGGTGGAGGACTAAAGCAGGAGGATTATGCGTTCAAGGTCAGCCTCAGCAACAGAGGGAGACTCTGTCTCAAGATTTTTAAAAAAATAAATAAATAACATTTTAAAGTGAACAATTCAGGGATTGGCAACGTGGCTCAGTGACCGATTGCTTGCCTAGCCTGTTCAAGGCTCTGGGTTCCATCCCCAAAAAAACTGGAAAAAAAAATTGAAGTGATTGATTGACAGGCAGTTAGGATGTTTATGTATTGTGCAGCCATCTATTTCTACCTAGATCCAAGATATTTTCAAAGAAACCTCCTCACCCATTAAGCAGTTTCTCCTCATTCCTCCACCGCCTTGGCAACTGCTCATCTGCTCTCTGTCTCCATGGTCTGCCTGTTCTGGATATCTCCTATTAATGGAATCATGCAACATATGGTCTTTTGTTTCTGGCTCCTTTCATTCTGCATAATATTTTCAAGGTTGGTCCACATGCTAGCACAGATCAACACTTCATTTCTCCTTATGAGTAATGTTTCCTGGTATGTGCTGTGGTTGGATACAGGCCCGTGTGCCTGGTCCCCAGCCTGTGACCTTGTGGGGAGGTGCTGGAACATTGAGGAGGTACGTCACATCTCACGACTAAACACTCTGGGTCACTCCAGGTGAATTGGGCTGCATGAAATAACCACACAGAGACAGAGAAATACCTTTTTCTTTGGGTCTTGTGACTGGTCTTCCACCGACCTTAGGAGTCTGTGAAAAGAGAGAGAGAGCCACCGGAATTCTTTATTCTTACGTAGGGAACACACCGGGGAGGTTCCATGGAGCACTGTATTCCAAAAAGGGCAAAGGGGTAGGATTACAAAGTGACAGATGAGTGTAGCTCAACCCCTCTGGGTGTCACCTTCTCCTAGGGCCTCACCTTGTTAGTCTTGGGAAAAGGCTAACCTGAGGGAGAGAAAAGACGGAGTCACCAATCATGGCACTATAGCGCCAGACTACAGTGACCTTTCAGGTCCCTTTGGTGCATCAGGACTTAAAGGTGCGTGCATTTGGAGTGGCTCCCCACAGAGGTAGGGACCTAGTGGAAGGAAGTTGGGCCTTTGGGGGTCGTGCCCTGGCAGGAGACAGGCTCTGGCCCCTCCTGTCTCTCTGTTTCCAAACCACTGGGAGGTGAGTAACCTCTTCCACCTTGCCATGATGTACTTACTGTGCCTCCACAAGCCCAAACACAAGGGCCAGGAGACCATCAGCTGAAGGCACCAGTCAAAATAATTTTTTTCCCATAAATTGATTATTTCAGGTATTTTGAAACCGTAACAGAAAGCCAACAGTTTATATATTCCATGTGTGTGTGTGTGTGTGTGTGTGTGTGTGTGTGTTGAAGCTCAAACCCAGGGCCTCACACATGCTAGGCAAGCACTTTTACCATTGAGTCAATCCTGGTCCCCTGTAGGTAGCACATGCTATTTATTCATTTGTTGATGGATATTTGAAATGTTCCCACTTTGGGCTATTGTGAATAATGCTGCTATGACCATTAATGTGCTCTCTCTCTCTCTCTCTCTCTCTCTCTCTCTCTCTCTCTCACTCACATACACATACACACACACACACACACACAACCAGGGACACTTTACCATAGAGCTACATCCCCAGTCCTTTGGTTTTTATTTCAAGACAGTGTCGTGCTGAGTTGCTTAAGGCCTTGCTAAGTTGCTGAGGCTAACCTTGAACTTGTGATCCTTTTGCCTCAGCCTTCTAAATTGCTGGGATTATAGGCATGCCTCACGGTGCTTGGCCCAATATATAATTTGTTTTTAAAATATTTTATTTTTAAACATTTTTTATAACTTTATTTATTTATTAAGTGGTGCTGAGGATCGAACCCAGTATCTCACATGTGCTAGGCAAGTGCTCTACCACTGAGCCACAACTCCCGCCCTACAAATTTTTTAGTAAGTTTCTTGTCAACATATAAAGACCTCCTCCATTCTCTCTCTCTCTCTCTCTCTCTCTTTTTTTTTTTTTTTGATGATGCTGGGGATGGAACCCACGGCCTTGTGCATACCAGGCAAGTGCTCTACCACTCAGCTACACCACCTGCTCTTATTTTATTTTGAGACCAAGTCTCACTGAGTTGCCCAGGCTGGCCTCAAACTTGCAATCTTCCTGCCTCAGACTCCTGAGCAGCTAGTATTACAGATGTGTACCACCACTTCTTTTGTTGTTGTTGTTAGTAATAAGCATTCACATCATCTCACACAAAGGCTGGAAGATCATCTCAGGAGTTGTTTGCTCAAGAGATCAAAGTTGTGTTTTTATATTGGTCTCTATTTCTTAAGAGATAGGATTAGTTGATGCTCTGCCATTAATGGACACTCACCTGTTTCACACATCCTTGCCAGCATTGGGTGTTGTCACTTTTTTTTTTTTTTCTTGGAGACATGATCTGGTTATGTTGCTCAAGTGAGCCTGGAATTCTGGGGCTTAAGTGATCCTCCTGCCTTGGCCTCCTGAGTAGCTTGAATTTCAGGCACACATACATCACTGTGCCTGGCTCTATTTTCACTTTTGACCTTGGCCAATCTGTGAGGTGAAGATGATCTCTCAAATGTTGTCACTTGAGATTTTTCATGGGCAAACTAAACATCCCACTACCACAACTGATTTTGACCTTGGGCACACTGTTGTCACTGATCTATGCAAGGCCCTCTGGTTAGACTTGTTTATTCCTTTTTATTTATATGCCCTTTCTTTTATGTTTTGAAAAATGTGCATTATTTTGTGGAGCATATGTTGTAGCTGAAGAGCTGGTATTTCCTGTTCTGTGAACTATTTGCTTATATATTTTGCCTGTTTGACTATTGGATTATTAGTCTTTGCTTATTGATCTTTAGGTGCTCTATAAAGAAGGCAGTAAGACCTTTACCTCTGATTTGAAAAATTGTTTTCCAGGTTTTTCGTTTGTCTTCTGACCTTGCTTATGGTGGATATTTAATTTTTTTTTCTTGACACTATTGCTTTTATTTTTTAAATTACTTTTAATAATTTTTTGGTACCAGGAGTTGAAACCAGGGGCACTTAGTCACACAGCCACATCTCCAGCCCTCCCCATTTTAATATTTTTCCACAATATCTTTATTCTATTTACTTATTTTTATATGGTGCTGAGGATCCAACCAGGGACCTCACATATGCTACCACTGAACGATAGCCCCAGGCCTCTCCAGCCCTATTTTTTTTTCTAAGATAGATACAATACTTTATTTTTATTTTATTTATTTATTTTTATGTGGTGCTGAGGATCGAACCCAGTGCCTCTCATATGCGAGGCATGCACTCTACCACTGAGCTATAACCCCAACCCCTCTCCAGCCCTTTTTATATTTTACTTTGAAAGAGGGACTCACTGAGTCACTTAGCACCTCACCGTTGCTGAGGCTGGCTTTGAACTGGTGAGCCTCCTGCCTCAGCCTCCTGGGTTGCTGGGATCACAGACGTGCACCATCACATCCGACACCATTATTGCTTTTATAATTAAAGCCCAAATTCCTTCACATGGCCCTGAATGGCTGACCCTTTGCCTCTGACCCTCTGACCTCTCTCTCTTCACTCTCTGCCTCTTTAACTCTGCTTCAGCCACTATAAGCTCATTGCTGTTTTTCAGATGAGTTATGAACCCTCTTGTGCCTTATATTATAAATATTAACTCCTATTAATTGTTTACATTGAGTCTCACTGTGACGTTTCCATACATGCATATATCCTATCCATCCCACCACTGCCTTCTATGGCCCTTCCCTCTCCACATCTCCGTGTCTCCTTTCCCTTCCCTAATGGTTTCTATCTATGAACATTTAAAAAAAAACATATTTACTTTTTAATTATAGGTGGACCCAATACCTTTATTTTATTTTTTTTTATGTGGTGCTGAGGATCGAACCCAGTGCCTTATGCATGCTAGGAAAGTGCTCTACCACTTGAGCCATATCCCTAGCCCCTATGAACATTTTTTAAAAGGGACTTTTGTCTTTATTCTTCCCGCTGATGAAATTCTCTTCCTTTTCTCCCCTCCTGGTCTAATTAATGCTACTCTTCCTTTAGATTCCGTCTATTTCCTCTAGGAAGCATTCCCCGATACCCACCCAGGGATCATATCTCTCCTATTTAGCACTATCTCCCCAGTACCTAGCACAGTACATGGCTCATAATAGCTGCTCAGCAAACAAATGCTGAGTGAATGAATCAATTAAAGTGTCAGGAGATGAAAGGCAGGCTGAACTGTTAAAAAACTTTTATTAAAATGTCCAAGAAGTACATTAATGTCCACAGTGTCAGATATCACAGACCCACAGAACACTGTAGCTCACAGCAAAACCAGCAGAACCAAAGCTAGTCACACGCACACACATTCACACGTATGCCACGCATGTGGCACACGCAAACACACACGCACATCCCAAAGGGAAAGAGCAAAAGACAAACCTCCCGCTTTAGAAAAGACCAGAGCCCCCTTCCACCATGGAGCTGGGGGTGCAGAGGGCAAAGAGGCCCAAGGGTAGGGAGCACCAATGAGACCCCCAAGAAGTTGCATCCCCAGTCTCCCCAAACATAGGATAATTCTGTTGCGATGTGGGTGGCTGAAGATGTGTTGTTATTATTATTATTATCTTTTTTAAAACAAGAAGTGTTATTAAAGTAAGAGGACAAACTAGAGCTTTCTCAACAATAACGTTAAGAGGGAACAGTGACTAATGTCTGTAGCAGAGAAGGTTAGACTGTGGTCAAGGGTAAGGTCCAAATTATACTTCTCAACCATTTCTTAAATCTGAGTGTGTGTGTGTATGTGTGTGTGTGTATAACAGAGAGACAGCCAGGTGTGGTGATGCACACCTGTAATCCCAGTGGCTCGGGAGGCTGAGGCAGGAGGATCATGAGTTCAAACCAGCCTCAGCAACTTAACGAGGCCCTAAGCAACTCAGCGAGACCCTGTCTCTAAATAAAATATTAAAAAAAGGGCTGGCTCAGTGGTTAAGTGCCCCTGAGTTCAATCCCCAGTTCAGAGACAGAGAGACAAGAGAATGTTTTCACTGTCTTTCCCCAAAGTAGAAAGCAGTATTTGAAGTCAGACAGAAGCAGGCTAAACCATTCTTTTGGTCTTGGCCATGACTTCAATTGTGTGCCTTTCCCTTGTATTTAAGAACCTCAGTTTTGTCACATAAAATGAGAAAATAATGGTTTCTAAGTCACTGAGCTGTTGAGAAGAGTCAAGATAGTGTGTAAGTCCTTAGCATGGTTGCTCTTCCATAGCTGTCAACTCTGCTTATTACTTCCCAGGAGGGATATAGGCTCAGTTAACACATTTTATTTCTACTGAGCCCCTACGTAGACGATGCATTTGCTTATATTTCTTTCTTGCACAAGGCCCTTTTCCAATACACTAATCTGCAGATTTTTACCCAGACTGAAGGAACTGAAAGTGGACAATGGACATGGAGAAAAAGTTGCAATCTTTCCTGCCAGAGATCAGGGAGCTGGGTCTTGCATCTGGCTTGGTGAGGCCTTCAAGAGGTTATGGATTTGAGGCCAGAAGGCTAGGTGAGTTCTTTCCCATTAAAAAAAAATTTTTAAACTATGAGAGAAAAATGTGAGAATGTGTGTGTTTGTGTGTGTATGTGTGTTTCGGTCTTAACACCGTGCATCTCTCTACAATATGACTGTAGGTAGGTGTCAATACTTCAAGTTTTAAGCATTTCTATTCCACCAGGCAATGGCTGGATATGGGGAAGAGGTTGGGAGGGTTGGGATCCAGGGCAGGGATACTACCAATGTCTGCTTGAGGGAAGGGTATTTGTGGGCACTGGGTTAGAAAACTTGGCACCTTCCTGGTCCAGGAAGGAGGTTCTTTGTCTCCCTGAGAGATGGAGGTGGAAGAAATCCGGGCTTATCTAGCCCTAAACATCCTCTCATTTGTGTGTGAGAGATTCATCACACATGCAAAACCACCAAATCTCAGCCCTGGACTAGACCTGGGAGGGTAAGCAATACACTTTCCCTCCGGCTCTACATATTGCTGTGAATATCCTCCCCCAAAACTCTGAGGGCATGGAGGGTGGTTTTTCTAAAAATACTCTTAAAATTCAATACATGGGAATTCCACACTATGTTTACACACCAACACCAAAGACCGAACTTGGGCTGAAGTCCAAGGTGAAGGAAGAACAGTCATCAAGTTCAAACAGTGTGCTTCTGTTTAGCCTTCTACTCCTAAAGCTGGTGACCTTAAGCAAAGGCTTCACCCTGGATTTAGGACAACCAACCATTTACTAAGCCTGAATCTCTGGTGTGAAAAGCAATCCTTGAGCTCGAATCCAAACATACATTCTTGCACTCTCATCAAAGCCTTATTTCAACAACTGGCAATCAGCCCAATGAACAAAAGACTGAACCAAGGCAAAGAATGATCTTTGCCGATTACACTTCCCTCAGCTGGGAGATGCTCCCAGATTTCAGTCTGACAAAAATGGACTCTTCAGACACATGGCTACACCTGCCAAGAGGACCTTGTGTATGTACGAAAGAGGAGAGAGGAGCTTTTTACAAAGGATAATATGTAGGGGGTGTGGCTTGGGGCTCAGGGACTTCCAGACCCTCTTGTTTCTCTCTGGGCTCTGTCTCCCCAGGTGAAGCTCCAGAGCAGGTGTGGGAAAGGGGGCTGTGCTTTCTTTTGCCTGATTCTTCAGCAGAAATTCCCTTCATCCTTTTCCCAGTCCTCCGCTGGGTGTTTCTTGTGTTTTCTGCGCTCCTTGCGTGATTTGTGGTGGTGATGCTGGTGGTGATGCTGGTGGTGGTGATGGTGCCTCCGCATCCGATGTGACCGTCTGGCTGCAAGAGAGTGAAACAGGAATGGAAAAGAGCAAAAGCTGATGACAGCAGGGTGGCTGGAGGCAGTGGGTCTCCCAGATGGAGGACACGTTAGGTGGGCTGGTAAATTCCCACTTATCCGCAAGGCTGTATTACCAGGCAGACATTACACCAGATCAGTGTGGGTAATAATGGGATGTTTTATTCCAACACAAACAGTTGTAAATCCATGTGGGGAGGGGGTCTCTGGAGGCAGCCACTTACGTTTGGTGCAGACAATTTGGGGCCGGTCCCACTTGCCATTGCTCCGACACCGGATGGTAGCCACATGGTGCTGGGCAAATCCTTCATCACACTGATAGCGTACAATGGCATGGACATTGTACTTGGCCTTGCGGGCACCCACAAGTGAGGCATTCTCCACTGCTGGAGGGGGACCGCACAGCACTGGGGACAGAGGAACCTCCAGTTAGGGAAGTGGCCAAGACTGGGGCTAACCTAGTTTTATGTGTTGTTGGGATTAATATTCCCCTCAGTGGGTCAGCAGCTGTGATCTCACAGGGCTAGAAGGTGCCATACCTGTCTCTGTCTTCCACCCCACCAGGAGCTCCTTAGGGGCAGAAACCTTCATGATGAACCCTGCTCCCATTCTGATGCCAAGGACAGAGCATGACAGTAATGAAAGAGATGGAGACAGAATAATTATCTGAAACCAGGCTGGGGGCACATGCCTGTGATCCTAGCAGCTTGGAAGCCTGAGGAAGGAGGATTGCAAGTTTAAAGCCAGTCTCAGCAACTCAGTGAGGCCCTAAGCAACTTAGTGAGACTCTGTCTCAAAATAAAAAATAAACAAGGGGTGGTGGGGGGTGTGTATTGTGGCTCAGTGGCAGAGTGCTCGCCTAGCACGTGCAAGGCACTGGGTTCCAGCCTCAGCACCACATAAAAATAAATAAGTAAATAAAATAAAGATTTTTTAAAAAGCAGGGGCTGGGGTGGTGGCTCAGCGGTAGAGTGTTCTCTTAACACATGTGGGGTGCTGGATTCGATCCTCAGCACCACATAAAAATAAAATAAAGGTATTGTGTCCAACTACAAGTGAAATAAAATATTTTTAAAAAGAGGGGGAACTGGGGCTGTGGCTCAGCGGTAGCACACTTGCCTGGCATGTGTGAGGCACTGGGTTTGATTCTCAGTACCGCGTATAAATAAATAAAATAAAAAGGTCTTGAACAACTAAATATATATATATATATATATATTTTTTTTTTTTTAAAGGACTGGGGGATGTAGCTCAGCAGTGAAGTGCCCCTGGGTTCAATCCCTTATACAAAAAAAAAAAAAAAAGATTTATTTGGTGCTGTACTGCTCAGTTGGCCTAGCACACATGAGTTCCTGGGTTTAACACCCAGTACTGGAGGAAAAAAAAAAAAGAATAATTATCTGAGCAAATGAAAGAGGAGAAAGGACATGAAAACTGGCAAAGAAATGAAAGCAAGAAGAAACAAAAATATAAAGAAAAGAAAAGAGAAAAATGTGTGCAAATGATTTCCTACATGTGTAAAGAGTTCTTAAAAATTGGGACTGGGGTCGTGACTCAGTGGTAGAGTGCTCATCTAGCACTGGGTACGATCCTCAGCACCACATAAAAATAAATAAAATAAAGGCATTGTGTCCAACTAAAAGGACTTTTTTTTGTTAGTTTAAACATTGTGTACAATTAAAAAATTTTTAATGTTCTTAAAAATCAATAAAACTGGGGTATGGATACAGCTCAGTGGTAGAGTGCTTGTGTAGTATGCATGAGATCCTGGATTCAATCCCCAGCATTGAAGAGAAAAGAAAAAAAGTGGAAAAAAAATCAAGGAAACCAACAAGCAACAGAAAATGAAGCAAAGGAGATGAATTGGCATATGACAGGAAAAAAAAAAACACAGAAATAACTTGTCAACATGCGAACAGTGGGTAATTCTCATCCTTAAAGATGCGCAAGGGGCTAGGGTCCTAGCTCAGTGTAGAACATGTGCTGAGCAAGCAGGATGCCCTGGGTTCCATCCCCAGTGCCCCCCAACAAGACATGCAAACTGAGACAACAATGAGATACTATGTTTTACCACTTTGGTGAATAAAGAACAAAACATTTGAAAATGGGCAGAATCGGTGAAGATGGGAGGAAACAGGACTCCTCTCACTGCTGGCTCCTGAGAAGGGCGGGGGGCTGACATTCACTAACTTGAATAAAACAATAAACCAATGAGCACGTGGGTGGAAGGAAGAGGGGGCGAGGTGCCAGGTACCTGTGCCTTTCTTGCAGACATAAGGGAGGTTATAGTTGCAGGGAACGTCATTCCAGCGACCGCTCTCATGCGCCACCATCACCACACAGTCCTCGCCACCCGCGAAGAAGTTGTCCGGTTGATTCTCACGCCAGTTCTCATATTGCTTCAGGAAGAGGGAGCAGGGAATCGTTCAGTGTCCTGTGTCCCAGCTCAGGCTCCTGCAAGATTCCCTTGGCCAGACTCCTCAGACTTGCAGGGACTCAATGGTCTCATCTCTACAATGGGCCTTCCCCTGCCTATTGAGAGGGTGGCTGTCACTGTGACCTGAGCCACATCCCTCTGCTGAGAGCCTGCAGTGTCTCCCTCTCTGATCTTCCGGCCTCCTTCCCCTGCTTTCTCCATGAGTCACTGTTAGCTAAGTAGCTGAACAAAAGGTGACCTCAGCCTGGAAGTCCAGGAGGGATTTCGAGGAGGCCCAACAGGAAAAGTGAAGACTCAAAGATGCAAAGAATCCAAATGGGGAATGGTGTCCCAAACAAAGGGAACAACAACTGCAAAGGCTCAGAGGCAGGAACAGAATGGAGGCAGGGGGTGGGGGGGCTGCATGCTGGAGTTAGGCTCTGGCCAGAGAATGGTAGTAGGGAGGAGGTGGACTTTTTAAGAAAACCACAATCTATATATAAAACTTACCATTCTAAACACTCTTACTTTTTAAGTTCATTGGCATTAATTACATTCACAATTTTGTGTAACTATCACCACCATCTATTACCAGACCTTTTTTTTTATTTTTTTTAATTTTTTTAGTTTTCAGTGGACACAACATCTTTGTTTGTATGTGGTGCTGAGGATCGAACCCTGGCCGCACGCATGCCAGGCGAGCGTGCTACCGCTTGAGCCACATCCCCAGCCCTACCAGACCTTTTTAATCACAACAAAGCAAAATTCTGCACCAGTTAAGGAAAAACATTTCTATTGCTCCCATTTCCCTTGCCCCTAGCTGCTGGCAAACATGAACCTACTTTTTGTCTCTATAACTTTACCTCCTCTGGATGTCACATAAAGGGAATCATGCAATATGTGGTTTATTTCACTTACTTATTATATATATATATATATATATATATATATGTGTGTGTGTGTGTGTGTGTGTATATAATATATATATATTATATATATATATATATATATGTGTGTGTGTGTGTGTATATAATATATATATATATATATATATTGAACCCAGGGGCACTTTACCACTGAGTTACACCCCCAGCCCTTTTTGAGACAGGGCCTCCCTAAGTTGCTGAGGGTCTTGTGAAGTTGCTGAGACTGGCCTTGAACTTAAAATTCTCCTGCCCCAGGCTCCCAAGTCACTGGGATTACAGGTGAGCACCACTGTGCCCAGCTTCTCTGATGTTTTTAAGGTTCATTCATGTTATAGTATGTATCAGGAGTTTATTCTTCTTTATAGTTGAATACGATTCCATTATATGGATGGACCCCATTTTATTTATCCATTCATTGGTTGATAGGCATTTGGGCTGTTCTCATTTGTTGGCTGCTGTAGGGACACAGTGAACATTCAGGTACCAGTGTGTTTGAACATCTGTCTTTCAATTGTTTTTATTTTTGCATTGCTGGGGATGGAACCCAGGACCTTATGCTGGCTAGGCAAGTAATCTACCACTGAGCCACTCCCCTGTCCCTGAAGTGTGATTCTTTAAAGGTTCCTGTGTGCCAGCGTTTCCTTCTAGGGTGATGAATATGTTCTGGAACTGGATGGAGGTGGTGGTTATGATATTATGAATGTTACTAAAATGCCACTTTAACATGATTAGTTTTTTTAAAAAATTTTTAGTTGTTGATGGCCTTTATTTATTCATATGCAGTGCTGAGAATTGAACCCAGTGCCTTACACATGCTAGGCAAGTGCTCTACCACTGAGCTACAACCCCAGCCCCCTAGTTCTTTGGTTTATAAATTTCACCTCAATTTTTTTTAAAGGCTGCAGCCAGATATGCTTGATTCGCCTGGGTCCCAGCTACTCAGGAGGCCGAGGGGATCACCTGAGCCCAGGAATTCCAGACCAGTCTGGGCAGTATAATGAGACCCGTCTTAAAACAAAAATCCAAAACAAAAAAAGTTTGTTTTCCAGACTGCGGGGAGGGGCAGGTAGCAAATGGCTAGGGAGACCGCTGCAGGGATCCAGGTTAGAGATTTTTCAAATTTTCCAAGGGAGAGAGATGTGGAAAAAAAGGTACAATTTGAGTGACAACCGCTAACAGACCAGGCTGAGAGACCAAGGGAAGTGAGACCCGGGTTTGCAGTTTCAGCAACTTTCGGGGCGGGCCATTTCCTGGCTGGGGAAGACTTGGGTGAAGACGGGGGCTTCACTGAAGCCGCTTCGCCAATGCCAGCTTCATAGAGTCCCTGGGGACCTTGGACGAACACTAGCAGTTACTTTGCCCAAGAGGGTAAACGGAGGGCACCGCCCACGCTGCTCAGCCACCCGAGGACAGGGACCGCCACTCACCAGCCCCGTGTTGTCCGTCCACTGGAAATCCCGTTCCACGATCCGGTCGTTCAGGCCGATCCACGTGTTTTCATGCCCAAAGCCTGCGTGGGGGTGGGTGTCGTGAGGGCTGGGAGTCCCCGCACTCCCAGGCTGGGCCGCGGAAAAGGACTTATGCCCTTCCCGGCCTGGAGGGGGCTGGACACGCAGGGAAAAGGGGATGGAGGTGGGGATGACGGGGGCGCGAGTACAGGACCCAGGGGGACCCAGGGGACCCAGGGGGACCCAAGGTTCCGCCTTCAGCCTCCTCTTGGGCTGAAGGCGGAGGGACCTGTGAGGGAGGGAAGGACCCCGCCTGGAGGCGCTGGTTCCCGGAGGTGAGCTGGACTTGCGTGGGGAAGAAGGGGAGAGAAGTGGGAGCGCGTGCGCGCGGGGCTTATAGGGTGCTTATAGAGTCCAGAGCCCCTCCCCCAGATCGGGGAGCGGGAGGGTCAGGACCCCCTCTCCGGCCTGGCTGTGGGCCACAGGCGACGTCCTCACCCCACTCTTAGCAGCCGCCCTTGGCTGCCCCTGTACCTTGGGGTGGGGAGGGGGCACTCAAAGGGCTCCGATTAGCTTCCAGATTTATTATTTATTTATTTATTTTTAGTACAGGGGCTTGAGCTCAGGGCACTCGACCACTGAGTCACATCCCCAGCCCTTTTTTTTATATTTTATTTAGAAGCAGGGACTCATTGAGTTGCTTAGCGCCTCGCTTTTGCTGAGGCTGGCTTTGAACTTTCCATCCTCCTGCCTCAGCCTCCCGAGCCTCTGGGATTACAGGCGTGCGCCACCGCGCCCGGCTTGGGTTCCAGCTTTGTCACGGTTTGTGGCATAAACAAGCAGGACGACGGCGGAATAAACACAGCACTGTCCCGTCTTTGCCCGGAGAGAGTGAGGAATAGGAGCCACCCAGGAGGCTGCGCTGGACCCCGGAGGCGAGAAAGAGCAAGGCGGGGCCGCGGTGGATGAGCAGCTTGGCGCACAGGGAGGCCGGGGAGGAAGAGAGAGGGGCGGACCAGAGAATGAGCAATGTAAGAATCAACCCCGGACCAAAGGCGCGGAAATGTGAAGAAACAACGTGAAGAAACGGATGGATGAACAAATGGCAGAAGGGATAATGAATAAATCAATAAGTGCCAAGCTTAATTAATGCAAAACTCTCTTCTCTCGGTCTCTGCAGAAATGGGTCCTCATTTCATCACAGATGCACCCTCGCGGTCCTTTATTACTTGGCTCTGTTATATTTATCTGTAGGACCCATTAAATTATAGTATAATAAATAGTGTAGAATATATTAAAGTAAAACATGGAGTGCTAAAATAATGTAAGTATGAAATAATATAATTTTATCTAATTAGATATTTACTTGTTTATCTATACCCCACCCCCAAGAGCATCCTTCCCTGAAGACAGAATAGTGTCTCTCTCACCGCTGGGCTGCAGTGCCTGAACGGGTGCCCGGCACATAGCGCATGCTCCATTAATACTTGGCGAATGACAAAAGTGAGTTATGAATCCACAAATGAATCAGCAGGCGTGTGTATTAAGAGTGTTCCGGGTTTGCACTGATGATCACAGCTTTGGAGAAGTGATATTTTTGGGACCCTGGGAGGATGCCCTGGCAAAGGGACAGGTGCCACCCCTGCTCATCATGATGGTGGGGGATCCCTTTCCCACTGTCCTTACTGTTAATGAAATTGTGCTCCTCAGCTGAGTGGACGCTGGTCAAGTGGCCAGCCCGCCGGCGGCAGTCCCTCTCTGCATCCTCCCATGCCCGCCGATGGGCAAAATAACGGTAGCAGTGGCCCTGGAACTTGTGCCATCCACGGTCACAGCCTTCTGTATCTAGGAGGTGGGATAGGAGTGTGAGGGGGTCCAAGGTCTACCAGCTATGAGCACAGCCCCCTCACACTAAGATAGGGCCCAACCTAAGGTCCCTGTGGGGCTAGATCATCCCTCACCCTTAAGGACAGGCCCCTCCTTACCCTTTCACCTCCCCACTTTCATAGTCATTTTTCTTTTGGCTCAGGTGTGACTCAGTGGTAGAGCGCTTGCCTAGCATGCGAGAGGCCCTGGGTTCCATCGCCAGCTCCATATACACAAAAAGGTTCTTTGGAAGACATTCAACTGAGAAACCATTGCACCCCCACCCCTTCTCGGGTCAAGGCTGACATCTCTTTTTCTAATTGTCAGGGTCACTCCCCCTGTGAACATGTGGACTCAGAAATGGTCTTGGGAAGGCCTAAAATTTCCCTTCTGGTGAAGGGCTTGAGCAGAATTTCTCCAAAAAAGATAAACAAATGGCCCACAAGCACATGAAAAGATGCTCAGCATCATTAGTCATTATGAAATGCAAATCAAAATCACAATGACATACCACTTCATACCCATTAGGCTGACATAACAAAAGAAAAGGAAAAAGAAAATGTTGCCAAGGCTGTGGAGAAACTGGATCCCTTATACATTGCTGGTAGAAATGTAAAATAGCACAGCTGCTGTGGAAAACAGTTAGCAGATCCAAATGTTAAATATAGAGTTACCACAGGACCCAGGAATTTCATTTCTGATCATATACCCAAAGAAAGGGAAAAACCAAGAATGGAAAATAGGTATCCAAGCAAAAACTTGCACATGTTCACAGCATCATTATTCACATTCGCCATAAGGAGGCAGCAACCAAAGTATCCATCAAATAAGGAACATACAAACAAATTGTGGTATGTCCATAAATGGAGTATTATTCAGTCTTAAAAAGGAATGGAGAGGGGCTGGGGTTGTGGCTCAGTGGTAGAGCTTGCCTAGCATGTGTGAGGCACTGGGTTCGATCCTCAGCACCACATAAAAAATAAACATAAAATAAAGGTATTGTGTCCATATATAGTGAAAAATATTTTTAAAAAATAGAAATAAAGAGTAGGGAAGGCAAAAAGGAATTATATTGGCCAAATTAGATTGTTACAATGTGGGCATGTAACAATGAATCCCACCATTAGGTATAGTTAAAATAAGTCAATAAAAACATGAAATAAAACCTTAAAATTCAGATAAAAAAAAAGGAATGAATAACTGACTTATGTTACAATGTGGGTAAATCTTGAAAACATTATGGTAAGTTAAAGAAGCCAAACACAAAAAGACATGTATTGTATGAAATGTCCAGAACAGGCAAATCACAGAGACAGAAAGTAGATTAGTGGCCGCCAGGTGTGGGGGATAGGAAATGAGGAATGACTGCTAATAGGGACAGGGTTTCCTTTGGAGGTATTGAAAGATTCTGGAACTAGACAGAGATAATGATTGCACAGCACTGTCAATGTACTCAATCCCACTGAATTAGACACTTTAAAATGTATGAATCTGGGCGGGGATTGTGGCTCAGCAGTAGAGCACTCATCTAGTACATGTGAGGCCCTGGGTTTGATCCTCAGCACCACATAAAAATAAATAAAATAAAGGTATTGTGTCCAACTACTTCTAAAAAATAAATGTTTTAAAAAATGTCTGATTCTAACATGAATTGTAATGCATTCCACTGTCATTTATTTTTAAAAAACAATTAAAAAGTCTGATTCTAAATTATGCAAATTTCATCTCAGGAAACCAATTAACAACCTGTGGGACTCAGCCATGGAAGCAGAGGCAGAGACCTGAAGCATGTGGGGGAAGCCTGTAACCAAGCATCAAACCCCACTGCTGGGAATATTTCCTGGTGGAAACTCACCTTTCTCGCAGAGGCTGCCCCCATAGCTGGGGAGGCAAAGGCAGACAAAGCCATTGACCTCATCGATACAGGTGCCTCCATTCTCACAGGGGCTGCAGATACAGTCATCAATGTCTGGCAGGGAGAGGGAGGGGACCAGTCACAGTCAGCATATCCTGGGCTCAGAGCCCCCATAGCAAACCAGGCACAAGATGGATTCATAATTGTGCTGTCCATCCTAGGCCTGAGTCTCCAGAGAAGGCTGAATGACTCTGCAACCTAGGGGGTGGAGACTCACATAATTAACATAAATTGGCATTTATGAGAGAAGATGCCACTGTGTCAGCTGAATCAGGCCAAGATGTGCAGAACATTCCCTCTAACCCCAGAAGAGTAAAGGTTATACTCTTGCATTCAAACCCAGCTGAAATTCAGCTGGAACTAGAGTTCAGACATTTGCAAGGACTTGCAGAATCACAAAGCCATTGCAGTAGAAATATTCACTTGACCTCCTCTTCTACCAATCTCTGCAGAGACAATGTTTGAGGCATACAGGGCACTGGGAAAGTCACTTCCTCTCTCTGAGATTGTTTCTCTTTTTTTCAGAGCAATAAAAATAATGGCACCTTCTTAGGGGAGTTCTAAATGAACAGCTAATGAAGCAGTTCAAGAAATTATACCATTGATATTTATTGTTATGATTTTATACTTAGTAGTATGTAGAAGTTAAGGAGGTGAGTTACAGAGCTCAAGAAATTATATCATTTACATTTATTGTTTTAAAAATGATCATAATTTGTAGTATTTCCTTTGTTGGACTTGGGAGTAACATCTAACGTTTCCGGTAGTGGTGCCTATATGCCTGCCCACCCTGGACAGGGTAAGATCCCCAAGGGCCCTTTGCTTAGAGGAATCTATGCCAGAACCACACTCCCAGGATGAGGACCCAGCTGTATGAACTGGATTCAGAGAGTAGGAAATGGAAAGGGGCTTTTTAAAGTTTTTTTTTTTGTTTGTTTGTTTTAGTGATCTCTTTTTGTGAGTGTAGACCCCCAGCCTCTGAGTCAAACAAATCCAGGTTCAGCTGCTGCTCCTGAGCACTCACCAATCTCACAGTTCTCCCCGGCGAATCCCTGGTCACAGCTACAGCCATACATGGTGCCGTTGGCGTTACACGTCCCCCCATGCAGGCAAGGGTTGTTTTCACATGGATCTGAGGGAGGTGAAGGATGGATGGGCAGTGTGAGGAGGGACTGGGCCACTAGGTCACAGAATTCCTGGAATTCCAGACCTCAGGTCCCTAAAGCCCTCCTCATCAAACTTGGAGTACCCCCAGTAACCTCCCCAGCAGGTAGTCACCAACTTGGCCTTGTACACCCCCTCCCCGGGATGAAGAGCTTACTCTTTTCAGGAACTGCCCCCCAAAAGTATCTGTGGGCTGCTCCGCCTGTGGCAAATTTCCTCACATGGAACCACTTCCATAAGATTATCTTTGGAAGTCTCCCAAAACATGGGTTTAAGTGCCCTCCTGGACTCGTCCCCCTCTTTTGGACATGCCCTGCTCATAGCTGTGCTTCTCAAAATGGGCCACAGTGGACATAAAGTTCCAGATGGGGTATGAATAGCACCAGAAATAATGAAGGAAACTGAGGGCAGTGGCCCACGCATGCAACTCCAGCTACTCAGGAGGCAGAGGCCCGAGGATGGCAAGTTCAAGATCAGCCTTAGCAGCTTAGAGAGACCTTGTCTCAAAATAAATTTAAAAATGGATAGAGATGTAGCTCAGAGGTAGAGTGCTTGTCTACCATGTGTGAAGTTCTGGGTTATATCCCCAGGACCAAAGAAGAAGAAGAAGGCATTCTCTCCTACCTTCTGTTGGCTTACCCTGTTTAAAATATATATATATATATTTTTTAAAATATATATATATTTTATATAACTCAATTGCTTAGCACCTAGCTTTCACTGAGGCTGTCTTTCAAATCCTCCTGCCTCAGCCTCCTGAGCTGCTGGGATTACAGGTTTGTGTGGCAGTGACCGACTATTCCTCTTTTTTTAATAGTGTACTTAGGGGCTGGGGATGTGGCTCAAGCGGTAGCGCGCTCGTCTGGCATGCGTGCGGCCTGGGTTCGATCCTCAGCACCACATACCAACAAAGATGTTGTGTCCGCCGAAAACTAAAAAATAAATATTAAAAATTTTTTTTTTTAAAAAATAGTGTACTTATTTGTGTATTTGAAGTGCTGGGGATGGAGCCCAGGGCCTCACACATGCTAGGCGAGCGCTCTCCCGCTGAGCCACATCCCCAGCCCTCTATTTTATCCTTATCACTTTTTAGTCTCTAATATAATGTACACTTTTATTATGATGATTGTTTCTTGTGCATCTTTCTCCCTAGAGCAGTGCTGCTCCATATGGCAGCCGTATAGAGCCATTCATGCTTAAATTAATTAAAATGAAATGAAAGTAAAAAATGCAATTCCTCAGTTATATTAGCCACATGCCAATCAGCACACAGAGAGAACATTTCCACCCTTGGGAAAGGTCTACAGTGTTGCTCTAGAATGTCAGCTTTCAAGGGACAGAGGATTTGGTCTCCGCTTAGGGCTCAGAACACAGCAGGCACACAATAATTGGAAGCTAACTGGAGGAAGGCAGCAGGTGGTCATCTTGCAATGTCTGAGACCTATTCCTGGGGTGGTGGTATGGGTCTCAAAGACCAGGGAAAGGGAAGGAGGATGGAGCCTGGGGTTGCATGATGGCCCTAGAGTGGCCCCAGCACGTGTGAGCACACGCGTGGAGCTTCCGGGTGGCAGAACGCGTGAGCCCCGCCAGGTGCCCTGTGCTGCCGACACCTGCCCACGGACTGGCGGTGACTCAGTCGATCACTGATGCTGCATTTATTTTTGGCCTCATTAGCATCTCTGCTGCAAGCTGAGGGTGGGAAGGCGCCTGGGTCTCCCCTGGCACTGCCCACCTCCCTCCACCTGACTACAGCTGGCTTTAGTCTGGGGCCAAAATTCCAGCAAAGTTCAAGGCAGCCCAAGCCCCAGGTCCAAAATCAGCTCCAAACACGATTTCCTTAGCACCTCCATGTGGTCACTTTCTACCTCTCTAAGGACTAGCTCTCTAGCTCCCTTGGCATTGAGACTTTTTCCACCTTCAAAGAAAGACCTCCTAGCCTATCCTTTTCAGCTTCCTCGCTGGGTAAGCTCATGGCCTCCCCAGGACTTCATGGATTTTTTTTTTTAATCCCAGTGAACTTGGTATTGCATCTTACAGCCTAGGGGTTGAGACAGAGACTCTGTTTTCAGATGGACCGGATTCAAACTCCAGCCTAATCACTCCCTCACTGCATAACTACACAAATCTCTTGACCTCCTTGTGCCTCAGCCTCCTCATCTGTAAAGTGAGAATCACACTAGAACTTGTCCATAAGGAGGTTGTAAGGATTAACCAAGATAATTCCAGTTAGGTGTTTAGAACCCAGAAAGATAATGTTAGGCATCAGCTTTATGTCCTGAGTCTGCCTGTCTCCTGCAAATCTAAGGAGAGAGGATTTGACCCCCGACACAGCCCAGAGGTGACAGTGTGGGCATCTGCTATTTCCATCAAGACACTGCCTTCAAAAAAAGGGGAAGGAAGTTAAAAAACAATTGTGTTAATAACAATGTCTTGCAACTCAGAAAAAAATTGCTTTTTAATTAGCTCCTGGGTTTTTTTTTAAAGCTCATTTGGCCAAAAAAAAAAAAAAAGCTTAATTGAAAAAATACAAATGAAGCTTAATGTGACAGTATTTAGTATTTTTCAAAAGGGGCCAGAATTTGCAGGCTCAGCCGGGGGCTAATGTGGCTTCAGGGAGAAGAGGTCAATGGCTTGCTCTGGGTTCTGCTGGGCAGAGAAGCTGAGACTTAGGTGGCCGTGGGCTCCAGCTGAGGTGTGGCCACTAATTGGCCAGGTAGTGACAAGCCACATGTGTTGAATGGGGTGATGCCACCACACCTGTCCTGTGACTCAAGTCCCCCACGATCCACATTACTCCATTCCAGCTCCAATTCCTATTTGTTCAGGATGCCCTCCCTGCCATGCCCCATCCCTCTGGCCCCACCTGGGAGGCACCTGTGCCCAGCTCTGTCTTCCCCAGACTTGGGGAATCCTTGAGGACCAGCGTCCTCGGCTTTGTCCAGCTCAAAGTAAACACGGCAGGGATTGTAAACTAAACTCATGCCCCACGTCACATCTCCCCCGAGCTTCGTCATTCCTACCTTTGGTTCTCCACCTGCTGAGCTCCTGTCTGACATCATCCTCTGCTCCCAGACCCCCAGGGACATCCTCCCAGACTCCCAGGGACATCCTCCCAGACCCCCAGGGACAACCCACCCTCCTTACTCTGGGCTCCTCCAGTCCTTAGTTACCAAGTGCTGACCACCCTGGCCTAGAAGGATCCTCGGACTTGAAACTCACCCCCCTCAGCACTCCCATTTGCAGGGGTCCCTGGCAGGGCCGGCTCTTCTCCACTTGCTGCTTCCTCCCAGAAACCCTCCACACCTGGGCTCCCGTCCAGGATCTGCAGATCAGCCTCCTCTGTGCCCAGGGAGATGGGCAGCAGGGTGCTCAGGGAGTCCCAGGGAGCGGCAGGTTCCCCCGAGGCAACAGAAGCAGCTTCTTCCAGGCCGGCCACAGTGGTTGTCCATGGGGGAAGGGCTGGCTCTCTGGGGGGACTGCCCTGAGGCGGAGGAGCTGAAGGTCCCACCATTCCCTGGCCCACCATCTGGTCCTCTGGCTCTGGGTAGGGCTGGGAACTTGAGGAGGGCAGTGTGGACATATCCAGGACCCCAATCTTGGCTCCCTGGTCTGGAGATGTAAGGGACGTTGCTGTGCTGGTATCTACGGCCACCGAAGGGCTCAAGGTGGGGCTTTCAGCTCCTTCAACCACGTGGGATCCAGACTCCCAAATTCCACCACTGGGGGCCAGCGAGACTGTGGAATCTCTGGGACCTCCAGGGGCTCTTCCACTTGCAGCTGCCCAAGGCTCCAAACCAGGGATGACTTCAGACACCGAGAAGATGCCACGGCCCGCTGCAGGTGCAGATGGGGAGCTGGTGTCCGGCGGAGAGGGCCAGGAGCCCAGCACCTCATGACCAGAGGTGTGCAAGCTGGACGTGGGGCTTTCTGCAGTGTTGATGAAGACCCCAGCTTCAGATCCTGAGATACCTCTGACATCTGTGGGCTCACCGGCAATCTCGGTGACGAAATCCACCGTCACATTCCTGTCCATAGATGCCCATGGGCTGGACCCGGGGTACTCAGCTTGGCTGAGCTCAGTGGGGCTGATCGCTTCAATGTCTCCAAAGTCTGTCCCAGGGGAGTCAGGGCTGGCTCCAGCTTGTGTGACCATAGCTGCCGTCGAGGGGGCAATGGGACTTCCTTCTCCGTGGCTGCTGAGTGTCATGGCTGTGGCCTCTCCACCCTGACCTGTTGGGCTCAAAGAGGGGGGCAGGGAATACACTTTGGTCCCTGAGGCTGCAGAGGGTGGGGTAGTGGTCATGGCCTCACCATGGCCCTTGACCTCAGTGGCTTCAGAGGACACAGGAGTAGAGTGTGACACGAGCCACAGGTTGGGGGCACGCAGCATGGCCATGACAGGGAGGTCTGGGGAGGTGGCTGTGGGGAATGCCTCCCAATGGGCAGCGGGGGAGCCTTCTGAGGGGCTGGAGGTTGGGACAGTGGACTCCGAGGGAGACCATGACAGGTTGGAGGTGGCTGGCTTCATGCTGGGGGCCTTGGCTCCCTCTAGCTTCAGGTCAGGGGTCCCGCTGGGGCCTGGGATGCTGGGTTGGATCACAGTTGGGGGCCACAACCAGGGCTCTGGGGGGCTCCTGCCACCAAAGGAACCTGCAAAAGAGCAAGAGTGACTATAATTATGACTCATCAGCTGAGGAGCACATCCCTGACCCTGGTCTAACAGGGGCTCCTGGAGCTGGGTGAGGTCAGGGGAGCCAGCTGGGACTCAGGCCATCCTCCCCTGTCCTGAGGATAGGTCCACCCTCCCGGCCTTCAGGTACCCAACCAAGTCCAGCTCCCACCCCACCCCAGACTCACCTGCTCCAGGCATGTCCACCTCGTTGGTCAGAATGGCCCAAGGAGTCTGGCTCTGGCCATTTCCCGAGGCCTCTGTGACCAAGGGAGGCTCCACATGATTCCCAGCTGGGGTGAAGGGCTGGGCACCGTCCTTGAGCTCCCCCTCCAGCCCTCGCTCTGGTTCCTGCTGCTGGAAGTGGCGTCCATTCAACCCTTTGAAACGCCCTCTCCTCTTGGGTGTGGGGACTGTCGAGGCCACCTCCGTGTGGAAAGCCTCTGCAGTGGCTGCCCCCATTCTGCTGGGGCTGGGAGCCACAGTGCTTGGCCACACTGCCTCGGTGGGCCATGAGGCCAGTGCAGAGTCACCCGGGGTTGAGCTGGGGGTCTCTTGAGACTTCTGATTCTCTGCCAAGAATAGGGGCTCTTCTTCTTCCCCACTGGAGACCAGAGGCTCTTGAAAGTCAGAAGGGACCCCCACCTCTTCCTCCCCCAGTTTGGGCTCCAGCTCTCCGGCTGGAGGCCCCTCTGCTGACAGAATCTCCCCCTCATCCCCAGATGAGGGGGTCTCTGGGTCTCCATGTTGTGGAGTGGGATGATGAGCTATGGGAGAAAACAGAATACATATGTTAGGCCCAGGAGCTGCCAGGGAAGTTCTGCTTGAATTCTACCCACATTCCCACATGCTTTGACACAGACCATCTATGCAGCTCTGGGTGGTTTCTGAGCTTCTCCAGCGTGATAGAGGGAGGCATAAAGTTATCACCTCCACCATTCAGGCTGGGCCAGACCCAGCCCACTGTCAAGATCAGGGTCACCTGGTCACAAGGAGGATTCAGTAGACAGTTTGGTTCGTGGGAGAAGCACAGGCAATGTCCAGCTTTCTGAGATCTTATAAGCCTGGGAAGGGATTCAACTAAGAATCTTTCTTTGGGGATGGGAGGTGTCCAGTGGGTGTGCCCCTCCCAACAAGGGTACTATTTTTCCATCTAGGACTGGTGATAGCTTACACAAAGGACTTGGTCTCTGGGGGTTGAAGTTTGCACCTTCTGAGGCTGTGGCCTCACAACAAAGGCAGGTGTCATCCGCCCCTGCTGTGACACTACCCAGGGCGAGCAGCCGGCTAATCAAGGCATCACCCCTAACGCCAAGGGTTGTACCCATGAGTGTGGCTCCAGGTGGGATGTGCTCCACCCAGAAGCGTGTTTTATAGGGGTATTGCACCTCCGGACTTAAGAAAATATATATAACCCTCTGGGGAAAATGTGACTCCTCTCCTAGAGGTAGGTTCTCTTAAGGGACATGTCCTTCCACGACAGCCAAGTTCCTAAGGAGAAACTTGTCTCGGGGGCGTGGCCGTCGGCCTGGGCGTGGCTTATCCCCAGCACGCGGCCTCCGCAACCAAGTGAAGCTGCTAGGGGTGTGGCCTTCACCAAGTACACACCCTCCGGTGCCTGGCCACTGGGGACACACTGGGGCGTGTCCCGTGGGCGGAGCCTCGCACGCACCTCGGAAACAGTAGGCGTCAAAGCGCGCAGCCGGCGCCGGGAAGCCGGTGCGATTGGCGAAGCGGTAGACGGTGCGCACGCCGGGGGTGGGTCCCCCGCAGCGCCGTCGCGGCGTCTGGATCGGGTAGCGCACGCTGCCGTCGGCCAGCCAGCCTGGGTCGCACTGGTCCAGACCCTCGTGCCAGGCCAGGTGCAGCTGTCCCACCGAAGCCAGCGCTGCGCCCTGGCGGCGGCACTGGGCGCGCGCACCGGCCAGCGTCAGGCGGCGGGCGGGGCCCACGTAGAAGACCTCGCCTGTGGGAGGGGGCGGACTGAGGTCAGGGGGACCTTCCCTAAGTCCGGGAAGGAGGTCCCCATCCAGGTATCCCGTCCTGGCCCTGTTTGGGTGGTGGTTAAGCGAAGGGGGCACAACCGCGGCTGTGCTTCCAGCTCGCCAGAGCACGGTCGTCATTAGCTCTTTTCCTGGTTAGTTTGGTACTAACCAGAGAAAGCTTTAGCTTCTTTTTACAAATGATGTAATCTGGGTCCTTGAGCAAAATGGGCTTCAAGGAGAGGGAGGAGCTCAGTGAGGGGGTTTCAGAGAAAGGGAAGGGGACAAGCATTCAGAGGATCAGAGAGAGAGAGAAAGAGAGAGTGTGGCTGGGAGGGAGAGGGGCTCAAGGAGGGATGGAAAGTTCTAGAATAGTCCAGGTCTTGGTGCAGGTTTTGAGAGCTACATCCGGACTTAGGGAGAGATGGGGATTTGGGAGAGAAACAGATTCAGGAAGAGGTGCGGGTAGGGCCCTCCCACTCCCAGGCTTACCTCCCAGCTCACGGGCGAAGCAGTACACATCGTAGAGTTCCTGTGGGTCTCGCCTCCCGTAACTCCTAACTCCTGGAAGGCTGCTACGGTCCCCATAGCAACCGGGACGGGACTGGGTGATGGGATACCTGACAACACCAAGAGTAGGCATCCCTTCTCAGATGTGTGTTCCCGGAGCGCCCCAAGAGCCTCTTTCTCCAGGGGCTAGCTCTCCATCTCCCCACCCTGTACCCCCTCACCGAACAGTGCGGTCAGAGAGCCAGCCAGCGTCACAGTTGTCAAAGCCATCTTCGAAGGCAGCCTGCAGGTGCCGAGGGGCTGCAATGGTGGCTGAGCTGAGACGGCAGGCCTCCTGGGCTGCAGCGAAGGTCAGCGCATAACGATCCCGGGCTGCCCGGTAGTGGAACACAACACCTGCGGGGAACATCCAGGATGGGCTGGGGGAGACTTATGCCAGAATCTCCAAGAACACACCTCCCTTTTGCAGAATGACACCCGCTCCCCACCCCCAGCTGAAATGAACAGACCTGCAGCCCCTCCAGTGCCTGGTATCACAGCCACTTACTCAGTGCCAGGCACAGAGCTAGGGTGATGGTGGAGAGTCAGACTGCTGACTCCATTTTACAGATTAGGAAACGGATAACAATGACCAGAAAGGGCTCAAACTTGTCAACTGTCTTCTTGGTGAAAAGCTTTTGTAAACAACACCTCACTGAACTCTCAACAACAATCCTAGGATTATTCCAGAAGAAGAAACTAAGGCTCAGAAAAATTTCCATGCCCTTGGCTTCATGGCAAGTATGAGGCAGAACCAAAATTCAAACCAGGAAGATCTGACTCCAAAGATAGCATTCTTCATGCCTGGGGTTAGGCCCTGGAGATGGCAGGAGGCACTGAGGAGGGTGAAGAGAGATTTTGTACATATGCTAATAGGAGAAGTACAGGCCAAGTGTGATTCTTCTTGCCCTGCTTGGGAATGGGTCATGGAAGATTTCCTGGAGGAGGTGACAAGTAAATCAGGAAGTGAAGCACCAATAACAGGATCTGCGGAACTCAAATTCTGATTTAGAGATGAAAGAAATGGCTGAGCAAGATGAAGACATTGAACATTTTGCCCCATCTTAGCAGACTGAGACCTCCTAGAGGGAGCTGTGACATCAGCATAGATTGGCAAGTAGGTGCTCAATAAAAGTTTGGCTAAATGAATGAAACCCAACAAACCCAGAGGTACAATTCACTTCCTTCTCCACTATTAGTGGGCTCCCCCCCAAGGTTTATCAGTTTTGAGAAGTGAGTCTGTGAAAGGAGTGATTGGTAGACCCCATAACATATTCAGTCATTACACAGTAGGGTGGCTTCAGCGAGCAATAATGCATTGTATATTCAAAGTAGCAGAGAGGATTTTGAATGTTCTCACCACGAGAAATGATAAATGCTCAAGGTGATGGATGGGAGAGTTACCCTGATTTGATCAAAATACAATGTATAAATATGTTCAATTACTATGTGTGATTCAAAACTAAGAATAAAGCAAGGAAAAAATATATGGCAAGACACTGTGTCCTGATTTCAGTTTGGGGGGCAGACTAAGCCCCAGGACAGGGGATTCAGGGACTTACTTGTCCAAGCTCAATGTAAGATAAGGGAAATAGATTTCTTGGTAGGAGTCAACAAATTGTTTTTTTTTTTTTCTTTCTATATCCCCCAACTCTGGCATTGGGGATTGAACCCAAGGGTGCTCTACCTCCAACCTACTTCCTCAGCCCCTTTATATTTTTTAATTTTGAGACAGGCATCTTACTAAGTGGCTGAGGCTGGCCACAAACTTTCAATCCTCCTGCCTCAGCTTCTTGAGCAGCTGGGATTATAGGTGTGCACCACAGCACCTGCCTCAACAGGTGGTTCCTTGTTTAATAATCCATTCATTAAGTCACACTTAAAACATTTCTTGAGCATGTACTATGATACACCAGACCCTGTTCTAGACTTTGCCTTAATCATTCATCTTTTCCCCTCCTTAGTCAGTTAGGAAAACAGAAACTACACTGGATATTTCAGCAGAAAGAATTTAATAAAGGAATTGTTTAAACAGGTATTTGTGAACAGTTATTTTCTTAATATATATATTTTTTTATTGACTTACTTTTTAAGAATAATCTGATTTTTAAAAAATTTAAACAAATTTATTTTTAAATAATCTGATTTTTAAAAAAATTTAAACAGATTTATTTTTTAAAAATTTGTATATTATTATTATTATTATTTGTAATACTGGGATTGAACCCAGGGCCTTGTGCATGGGAGGCAAGCACTCTACCAACGGAGCTATATCCCCAGCCCCTGTATTTGATTTTAAAATAGAAAACCAATATCCTTTGTCTTATGTAAAATTGGATAACAATAAAAGAGACTAAAGGGACTTAAAACAAAAGCCGGATTAGGCCGGGCATGGTGGCACTTGCCTGTAATTCCGGGGAGGCTGAGGCAGAAGGACTGCAAATACAAAGATTGCAAGTTCAAGGCCAGCCCAAGCAATTTAGTGAGTCCCTAGACAACTTAGTGAGGCCCTAGCTCAAAATAAAAATGATGTGGCTCAGTGATAAAATGTCCCTGGGTTCAATCCCTTGTACCAAAAAAAAAAAAAAAAAAAAGTAGGATGAGGACATCCTTGCCCAGATAGTATAACCCACTCGTGACTGAGAGTGTGGCTGCTCCCTAAAGACAAGACAGGGCTGGGTACAGTGGCGCAGGCCTGTAGTCCCAGCAGCTTGGGAGGCTGAGGCAGGGGGATCACGAGTTCAAAGTCAGCCTCATCAAAAAGTGAGGCACTAAGTAACTGAATGAGACCGTGTCTCTAAATAAATAAAATACTGGGTGGAATGAGACGGACATCATTACCCTCAGTACATGTATGAAGACACGAGTGGTGTGAATATACTTTGTATACAACTAGAGATGTGAAAATTGTGCTGTATATGTGTAATATGAATTATAATGCATTCTGCTGTTATATATAACAAATTAGAATTTAAAAATTTAGAATAAAATAAATAAACAAAATACGAAATAGGGCTGGGGATGTGGCTCAGTTCAATCCCTGTTAACCCCCTGCCCCCCCCCCCCGCCAAAAAAAAGATAAGGTAGGACTTTGGAGACCTTCTTCTTGATGTTATCACAGTTGAAAGGGAAGCCCTCCCTATACAAGGAGTGATTTCTAAGGTGACTCTCAGTGGCAGGCTTCAGGCTCTGCCCCCTCCCAACCTCAGTCCCTCCCCTGCCCCCAACTGACCCGTCACCTCCAGGGGCACCAGGTCCTGCTCATCCTCGATGCCCCTCACCACCTGGCAACGGTAGAGCCCGGAGTCGCTGGCCCTCAGTGGCCCCAGGAGCAGCGTGGCATTGGCTCGGCGCCGGGGATAGGAGGGCAGTGACACTCGGCCCTGCCATCCCTTGGCCACCCGCACCACATTGTCCTTGGCCACCAAGATGGGCAAGTCCTGTCGCTGGCCCGATGCCGTCCGCACCTTGGTCCACTTGATCCGAGGGATGTCTCGGGCTGCACCCGGCCGTGGCTGCAGGGTAAAGAGACAGGGCAGGGCCACCAGCTCTGCCAGCACAGCCCGCACCGACCCAGACCCCACCTTCTGCATGTGGAGCCCCTTCTCAATGGCAGCAGCGGTGGCCTCCTGTGTGCCTGGGATGGAGAAGGCAGAGAGAGGGCATGCCTCAGGGGCAAGGACCAGCAGGGCACCGCCACTCCCCTCCTTTACAGGTGGGAAGGGGGAGGCCAGAGAGCCTAGGGTGGCCACACAGTGTCACAGCGCACATGGGGGCCCATTCCGCTCCGTGAGGTTTAGTGGGCAGAAGGGGAGAGGGAGGGTTCAATCCCCTTGCGGTTCTGTCTCCAATGAAATGTAGACTCCAGGGCCCGGTATGCAGCTCAGGGGCAGGGCACTCGCAGGCCAGGTGCCAGGCCCTGGCAAACAAATGAATTCTAGAGGCCTCTTCTTATAGGGATGGGGATTTTTTTTTTTTTAGCTTTTTGCACATAATCCCTTTATTTTATTTTTTAATTTATTTTATGTGGTGCTGAGGATCGAACCCAGTGCCTCACATGTGCTAGGCAAGTGCTCTACCACCGAGCCCCAGCCCCAGCCCTGGGATGGGGATTTGACTTCCAGTATCACTGATTATGTGGCCCTGGGAAAGTCACTTTCCTTCTCTGAGACTTGTTTTTCTCAAAAGTTAAGCAAGGGGCCGGGGTTGTGGCTCAGTGGTAGAGCGCTAGCCTAGCATGCACGAGGCACTGGGTTTGATTCCTGGGCACTACATAAAAAATAAATAAATGAACAAATAAATAAAAGTATATAAAAAAAATGTTAAGCAAGAGGAAGTCATTAGAAGGAAAAGGTCGTTTGTGGAGTGCCTTTATAACAGGCACTTTATAGGAATTAGCTTATTGATTTTCTTTTTTCTATTTTTTTTTGTACTGCGATTAAACCAAGGAACACTTAACCATGGAGCCACATCCTCAGCCCTTTTTTGTCTTTCATTTAGAGATAGGGTCTCCCTGAGTCGCTGAGGCTGGCTTTGAACTCACGATCCTCCTGCCTCAGCCTCCTGAGCTGCTGGGATTACAGGCGTGCGCCGCCACGCCCAGCTTCATTTTCACAATCATCTTCAGAGAGTGTGATGTCTGATCTTCTTTTTGGGGAGTTGAGGAAATTAAAACTCAAAGATCATATATTTGCCTAAGGCCACTAAGCAGATCACTGATGGATTTCTAAAGCCTGGGCTCTTGGTCACCTTTGGGGAGATGCCAAGAGAAGCGCACACACCTTTATCTCCATTGCCCTCTTATGGCAGACATCACCAATCAATCTCTGCACGATTCGCAATGCTGTTCTTTCCCTTTTCAGTTCATTTCAGCAAAAACGGTGAGAGGCGGGAACCTCCAGCTTCTGCTGGTAATGACTAAAAATAACCTCTCAGGTAACTTGTTCTCTTTTGACTGTTCAAAGACCTTTTTTCATCTATTCTTGTTTTATTCTTTAGATCAAGCCAGAGGGCCAGCAGGAGAAGGCTCTGGAATGTAACAGCCCCATCTCATCAATCCCCCAGATCCCTGGCTGTGGCTGCAAAGTGAAAAGATTCTCTCCCCACAAGTCAACTCACCCTGATTCCCGGTCACAAACAGCAGCATCTGCAGCATCAGGAGGCCTGAGACCCAGACAGATGTGGCCCCCATCCTGAACCTAGAAGGAAATGCAGAGGAAGGGAGGGATGAGTCACAGCACTGTCCTCCCAGACATGCCACATGGAAGGAGCAAATCCCCCCTACTCTACAGATCAGGAACTAGAGCCCAGAGAGGCCAGTGTGTCACTCAAGGTCACAGAGTGAGCAAACAAGAGCTGAGCCAGGATTCAAACCCAGGGCCACCTGGCTTCAGAATCCTAACACCAAAGCCTCATGGCCAGAAACATGGGTGGTGGAGTGAATCAGACCAAGGGGTTGACCGTCTGTCTGTTCCTTGCTGTGTGACCTTGGGCAAGTAGCTTAACTTTTCTGTACTTTCTCTCTTTTTGTGGGTCAGATGGGGATAACATCAGATGGTTGGAAGGAATAGTGAGTCAATATATATAAAATGCTTAGAATCTGCCTGGCACGAAGGAGTACATTTTAGCTGTTGCTAATATTATTGAGCATAACACGGGCAAGACTGAAGTCCTATTTTTAAAGTCAACCTCCGCTATCAGACTGGGAGCTCCTAGAGGGCAGCAGCCAGTCCTGGTCCTCCCAGGTCCCCCGTCCAGGCAGCAGGCGAGCCTCCAAGCCAGCCTTTAATCTGGGTTTGCTGACTGACACGATTCTCAGCTTCAATTCCAGGATTTGGTTGTCACCAAGAGTCTATTCTTGGTTTCTGGGATATTTGAGGAGCTGCCAAGTCCCAGCTGGAGGAAGGGGCCTCACCCCTGCCCACCCCAGCCTCCCCCTGACTTCACACAGTCTGGTGAAGAAGCTTCTGCGGCTTGCAGAGAAATTGCAGTGTGGGCCCAGCTCTCTGTAGGGGCCGTGGTCCAGAGGCCTCAGCCATTACTCAAAATCTACTGTCATCATAGTCCATTCCAGGTGCTGGACACAGCTGGGTCCTTTCAGATGGTACATTCTCCCAGGGAGGTGGCTCCTCCCCAAAGCCTCCCACCCCTCTGGAACCCCACCCTTCAGTGGGGCTGGAGAAGGTGGGAGCAGATGGAAAATTAGAATGTCACATGCAAACCACACCCCTATAAAAGAATAGCCCTGAAGACCGAGTTGTGGGTAGAGTCTAGAATGAGAGGCCATGGGGGGACCAGCTGTTCTTCTCAGCTCTCCTTCCCAGTTCCCAGAGGCCCCTGCTGAGAGCTGGTGAGGGACCTGTCCGTGGTGCTGAACTCTTGAGGTGATAATGCAGCAGCACTGCCCACCACGTGGGTCCCTGCCTCCAGCCTACTCACATGGTGCCTCGGGGCCCAGAGAGGGCTAGCAGTTTGCTTCAGAATGCACAGCATAGCACATGTCAAGGCCAAGGCCCTGAGCCAGTGACCACAACTACCAATCTCTAAACCTCAGCAACCTCTGCCTCCATCCCAAGCTGCCCTCATTTCTCCCGCTTGGAACCCCTAAGCAAGCATGGGGTATCCCAATGGTTGTGCCTGCCTCAGCAGGGCTGGGGGTGGGGTGGGGACAAAGCCAGAAAATACCCTCTTTCTCTCACACACACAAACACACACACGTGCAGATGCACATCATATGGTTCAGAGCTCAGATTACATCCAAATGACCTCACTTCAAACCCTGTCTTTATTCCTTACACACTGTGCTGTGTGATCTTGGACAAGTTGCTCCATCTCTCTGTGCCTCAGTTTCTCCATCTTTAAAATAAGGATCATCCAGCACACACCTCATCAGGCTATCTTGAGAAGGAAATGAGCTAAGATTGTAAAGTCCTGGACATGTTAAATTTAAAGACAGTTCCTTGTACACAATGCCTCATGTACACACTAAAAATATCCTGAGGTGATCCAACATGGTGACAGTTTCAGGTGCACATTGCCCTCCTCACCCTCCCACTGCCTTCCACTTACACCCTCACACCCACACCCTTCTCTTAAAATACCTCCTCCCCAGGGCCACCAGAGGTGAGCATTTACACAGCTGTCTGGGGCCCGTCCCCTCATGAATGATGCATGAGCCTCATGCATATGCAAGTAGGGGCCTGCAGGGCGCTGGGGGAGGGGTGGTCTGGATCAGTATGAGAGTGTGTGTCTCCCCTCTCTCACTCCCACCTCCTGTCTTGGTGAGCACCGAGTGAGGGTGAGTTTGTTAAGCAGGCGTTTCTGTGGGTGACCGGGTGTGCATCTAGGGTGCCAGGCAAGGGTGCACATGCAGATTCACCCTGTGGGGTGTGGACATCCTGCGTGGGAGCTCTAGCAGGCTCATGCACTAGGTGGATGGAGAGGACCCAGTGTCATTTCTGGCGTGTGGATCCGATCCGAGTGCCCCTCAGCAGGGGCAATGCACACACGCGTGTGTTGCTGGCCTAAGAACTGGGGTGTATTTACACACAGGGGTTTGAATGAGGAACTCCTTGCAGGAGAAAGATAGCCAGGCATCCAGGGCTGCCCCCAGGGGACCTCAACCTCTGCCTACCCTCTCCCAGGGTCAGCTCCCCAACTCTGCACACAGATCACATCCCACACCCCCCATTCTCAGGGTCCACACTGCCAATCACATGGAGAGGACCCCTGCCACACACATGCAGTCACACATCCCAGACACAGACCCTGGGAGACACACATGCACAGATTCACAGTGATATTAACAAAGAGAGGCAATATGGGTACTCACAAGGCGGGCGGCACGTCTTCCACACAAAGACTCAGCCCTCGGTCTCAGCCCCCCCCACGGAGACCCCTCAATGAATCGAACACCATCAGACACGGTCCCCATCACGCACGCTGCCATACCAGACCCTGGCACAGACCAGGGTGGATTAATGTGGCCTTGGTGACTGTGGGCATACATCAGTTGGCCACCTGGTGATGTGGCCCCCTGGCACAAGTTTCCTGACAAAGACACCCACCACAGTCCTATCAGATTCTTGGGGACCCTAGACCCCTGGGGCACACCCCCTCCTCACTGCCTAGAGCAGACACACACACAAAGCCACCACCTCCTGCGGTGGGGGACCTTCCATTTGGGAATGTCCAGGGGCCACTGAGGCTCCTGGGTTTGGGGGTCCCACAGTGCATCCACCCCTCTCTCCCTGCCCCATCTCCGTGTCCCTGGCTTGGGCCCAGTGCCAAGCCTCTCCTCAGCCCGGCTGTTTCCCACTGATGCCGCTGAAAGGAACAAAGCGGAAGGATGGGGGTCACTCCCAGTCAGGCTGGCCTGGGGTCCCAGCCCCCTACTTGCCAGCGCTTATGTCCCCCAAACCAAAGCAGGGTTTCCACAGGCATTGATATAAACCAAAGGGGGTGAGACAAGGGTCTGTCCCTCTGTGAGGATGCGGACAGATGCTGAAGTGCTGGGGACAGTCCCTGTCTTGGGGTTAGTGCCCTCGTCGTAGTCCCGGGGATCCAGAACTGGGAGCTCTTGCCCTCCACCCAGCATTCATTTGGGACACTCAGAGAACTACCCTCCCTGGGAGAAAGGACAACACCCCAACTCCAGATCCGTGGGACAACAGGGGCCACCTTGGGATGGGGCACCCCAGAACCTCCTCTCTGAGTCAGGATGTGACAGAACCTAACCCAAAATGACAGGGACACGACTGGCTCCCTTTCCCTGTGTCCATTCACTCTCAGGGCAAGACCCCTTTCCAACGGACTCAGGCTGATCTGGGGGGGTGGGGGACCCACACTACTGCAGTCCAACCCGGAATCCTCCATTCATCTGGAAATTGGGAATCCCCACTTAAAATCCTGGGGTGTCAGCTCAGACGCAGGGGTGCCTATTCCGGAGTCCCCCATTCAGTCACTGGGCGTCTCTTCTCTCCAAACTCGGGGTGCCCCACCCCTAGCCCTGGTTCCCAGCGCCTCCTGCCTCATCCTGAGACCCACCCCCAGCCCCGGACCCCTCCCCACCGCGGGATTGTCTCCGCATTCCCCGGCAACCTTCCCCCCATGCAGAGCCCCTGGACACCCCTGGGTCCCCTTCTAATTAGCGCTTCCTCTCCACCCCAGGGGTCCCCTCCCCCATCCGCCCCCCTCCTCAATCTGGGGGCTTCTCCCTGATCCCAGGCCCCCTCCCCAAAACCCGGCTCTGTCACCAATCCTGAGGTCTTTCCACGAACGCGGCCCGCTCCCCACGACGAACACCCCCACACCTGGCTCCTAGCTCGGACGCATCCCGGGGCGGCCGCCCGGCACAAAGGACTCTCCAGCTCAGCTCGCCCAGCGCTCGGTCCAGCCCCTGCGCCCTGCGCTCCGCTCGCCCCAGCGCCGCCTCAGCGCTTATAAAGGGGCCGCGGGGCTGCTCTGCGCATGCGCCACCGCCAGCCCGCGGCCTCCAGCTGCACGACTGTGGGGGCTCCCTCTGCTTAAAATCCCCCATGCATTTTTCTAACACTCACCCCACCTGGGGGAAGGCTGCACCTGACTTCCCCCCATTCTTTTTGCCTCAGGACCCCCCTCATGTGACCCCAGCCAAACCCCGTGATGGGACGTGCCCCATTTTACAGGTGGGGAAACTGAGCCCCAGGGAAGTAAAGTTGCTTCCCAAGGTCACACAGAGAGGAAGAACAGAGTTGGAATTTGAATCTTGGTCAGCCTAACTCGCAGCGGCTCATGCTAGAAGCAGTTTTGGCTATAATTACTGTTTTGCACATTTATAGAGAGGAAGCAAGGCTCAGAGAGGAGGGGGAGACTAGTTGGTCGTGCAGCTGATAGAGACCTGGCATGTCAGAGCCCGGATGTATCACACCTCAGAGTTGCTCTAGCCAAACTGTACCGTTCATTCTTCATTTACCTTTAACCGGTCAGCATCTATACAGCGAATACTATGAATGTTGCTAGCACAGAAATATTTATGCTTAGGGAAGGGGCAAATGGGTGCCCTTGACAGAAGACTCTAATCTTTAAAAACTTAGATCCAAGACTGGGTGTAGCTCAGTGGTGGAGCATTTGCTTAGCACATGGGAGGCCCTAGATTCTATCCCCAGCACTGTCAAAAAATGAAAATAAAGCTTAGATCTAAACAATGGAATATTACTCAGTCATAAAAAAGAATGAATCTCTGAACCATGTCACAATGTGGATGAACCTTGGTTGCACAATAATGTAAAATGTATTTAATCCCACTGAGTCATACACTATTTATTTATTTTTTTTATTGTGTGGTACTGGGGATTGAACCTAGGGATGCTCTACCATTAAGCTACATTCCCAGACCTTTTTTTTTTTAATATTTTTTTCCTGGTTGTCGATGGACCTTTATTTTACTTATTTATATGTGCTGCTGTGAATTGAACCTAGTGCCGCACACATGCTAGGCAAGCTCTCTACCACTTAGCCACAGCCCTTTTTTTTTTTTAACCTTTTTATTTTTTTCAGAGACAGGGTCTTGCTTAGTTGCTGAGGCTGGCCTCTAACTTTCAGACCTCCTGTCTCAGCTTCTTGTGTAGCCACCATGTCCAGTTGAATTGTAGTTTAAAATGATAAATTTGACCTGGGGAGTGTAGCTCAATGGTAGAGTGATACTGTGGGTTCAATCCTCAGCACCCAAAACAAACAAACAAACAAAAAAGGTAAATGTTATGTAAATTTTACCACAATAAAAAGCAGATGGGGAGGAGGCACCTGCCCTGCCTTCCTTCCCGTGGTCCTTGAGTTTCAGCTGTGATAGGCTGTGCTGGCAGAGCCTCCTGGTCCTCGGTCCCCTGTCCTACCTACATCGGTGTGTGTGTCTTTGAGCATTTCTCAGAGTGAGTCTCAAACAGAAAAAGGGGCAAAATCATTTCCTCCAGATTATCAAAGAGGGGAATGGAACTTTTGAGAGATGAGGGGAGAGCCCAGGTGAGCAAGGGGCAGCCCGGAAGGCCAAGGCGACACACCAAGGAGCGGCTATGTCACAGAGGAGAGATGGAGGTTAGGGATCATAGCTGATGTGAATGTCTGTGGGTGACAGCAGTGTCACCAGCACCCAAATGGCATGTGCTGCCTGGTTGGGGAGGCCAGTGAGAGGGAGGAGGCTGTGGCTGGCGCTGTGGGGCTGAGAGCCATGTGTCCTGTATGGGAACTAAGTGAGCTCGACCTGCCCAAGTCCAGGTTCAAGCCCCCTCCCTGCGGCTGGTAAGAGTGAGATCCTGGGCAAGCCATCGCTTCGTTCTGTGCCTCGGTTTCCCCACCTAAATTGGGAATGATTGACAGTTCCAATCTTCTGGGTTCCTAGGAGACAGAAATGGGAAGGAAATGCCCGCACAGGGGCTGATGTCTTGTTGCTGTTCATTTTAGAGGCTGCTGGGGAAACTGAGGCTCAGGGAGACAAAATCATGTGCCTGAGGTTGGACAGCGTGGGTAGGGACCAGGTGGGAGCCCAGATTGATGGCCACAGTACTAAGCTGACCCCCCCCTGCTCCTGTACTCCCCCTCCCACCCCCACCCCCGCTGGTGCCAGGGTGCCAGGGCTGAGCCGAGGGAGGCTGGCCTGGGGCCAGGGGCGGCCTGTTGCTGGGGTCTTGAATGAAGCAACCTTGCCTGGGAACCTGCTGGGCTCAAAAAGCTATTTATAGGCCTGTTCTGGGATTGGCCAAGTGCCCTCCACCCCCATCCCTGAGTGCCTTCTCTGCCCCCCCGCCCCCCCCCCAGTGGGGGCTCTGGGCCAGGGGCCGCTGCCAATGAGATGAGGTGGTGGAGGGGATGGGGTGGGCTAAAGCAGAGTCTGGGAAGGAGGCTGGACCCTCCTGGAGAGCTGGTCTCAGGAGTGAACAGTATCCCGCAAAGTGCTTCAGAACATCCCCAAGGTGACACAGGGACAAGTCACAGACAATGTCACCAACCTCCACTGACACACAGTCACACCAACAGCAAATCAGTTCACATACAATTTCACTTGGCAACAGCCACACACAACCACCCTTGTACACACACAGGTCACAGATGTGAGCCGGGGACCGAGAGTCCCTTTGCACCTGGACCACACTGCTCATATGGGGCCATGTTTACAGCCACAGGCCCACCCACAGGCAGCTAGCCCATGACCATGTTCACTTTGCACCAAGGTCACCAACACCATGATCCAGAGTCCTCAGGTGCTGTCTCACACGCAGACCCAGTGTTCCCACACATGCCCACCTAGGTTCCTTCACATCCAGCCACCCCTTCTCCCACTGTCATTTAAGTCCCTTTCCCAGGGGGAACCAAGGTTTGGAACCATCCGAGGGCCTTTCCTGCCCTGCTCCAGGATGACAGACTCATGGAGAGTGGGACCTGTTTCCTAGTGGGTCCTCAGTGCCTCCTCAGAAGCAGTGACACAGATAGAGCCCTGCCGACCCAAATTTGCTGGGTGGCTTCAGCAAATCCTGGACTCTCTCGGAGCTTCAATTCCTCCCCTGAAAAATGCAGAACTCAGTCCACTAGAGGGAACTCCAGAGTCAGACTGGGGATTGTCTCCCTGGATGATCTTGGCCAAATAACTTTGCTTTTAGGTGACTCAGTTTCCCTTAGAGAGCCAGAGGAGCAGGACCGGCTCCCCTAGCACTCTCCCGGCCTCATCCCCTGGGGTGGGAGGAGTGGGGAGGGAGCTCTTAGTCGGCCTCACTAAGGCGAATGAATGGACCACTTTTGGCTGTCTTGCTGGAAACTCAGAGCTGCTAATTCCCTAGAGGAACAGGAGGCTCTTTCATGCTTAGGCGCCAGTGGGGTGAGGAGGCGGGAAGAGAGTAAGGAGCTGGCCTCATCCCAGTGGCCAAGGTGGCTCTACGCCAAGCCCAGGAGTGATATGGAGGGCCCTGGGGCTATGCATATCCTCACAGGGGAATCTTGGTCAAGTTGCTGTGTCCCCTGCTATAAAATGAGAGTGACACAGATCAACCAATTGCGGTTTAATGAGCCAATGGGTGGAGACAAAAAACACAGTGGGGTCTCACCAAGTGTCATCCACTGTTGTTATATGTCAACCCAAGGATTCTACTGTATCCTCCAACAGGCCTATGAACAGAATTTTCCCCCTTCACAGATGAGGGAACTGAGGCTCAGAGAGGTAGAGATGTTTGTCTAAGGTCACACAGCTGGTGAATAGTCCAGCCAAGATTTTAAGTAGATCTGGGCTCTCCAGGGTCCAAGATCTTCCTAATTTCTGACGAGAGTGGGGATGTTTCCTGCCATCTCCAACCTCAGCCCTGAGAACAGCAAAGCTGGGTCTGGCACCAGACCACAACAGAATGCAGGAAGTCCTGGCGGTCAGGGACTGATGGGACAGCCCTTCCGCTGGTGACCCAGTTTCCCTGCCAGCCCCGGCTCCTGAGATGTGCTTGGGAGACGCTAGTAGGATGCCAGGGGACCATCCCCCACTCCCTTGAAGAAAGGGGCTGGATCCCAGACCATTCAGCTAAAGCTAGGGACAAGAGTCCCCTGCCAGTGGCTGCCCTGTCTTGGAAGCCTCCATTTGTGTAGACTGGATGGAGTCGTGCCCTTTCCCAAACACTGCTCCAGGCCCAGCAGGATATGGCTCCACATATTTTATTCAAATCCATGGTCTTAATCCAACGAGGCCTTTCCTTGTGCTTTCCCCCTGCCTGAATCACCCTCTCCATCCCAGATCCCCCCTCCCAGGAAGCTTCTTTTAGGTGGACTCCCTGCTTCCCCACCTCTGTCCCTTCCTGTGGCTCAGCCCTGACCCCATAGGTCTGGGAGTATCTGTGTTGTGCCCAGGTGGGGCTCTTTAGGGATGAGGCTAAAGCTGAGGCCTCTCATCATCTCCAGCTGCAGATCCAGTTCCAGGGGGGCTTCTCCAGTCGCCGGGGCCGCCTGGAAGGTACTCAGGACAGGGGTGGGCACAGGAATGGCAGTATATGGTGACAGGAGTTAACCAGTGAATCAGTGAACTAAATTTTTGGCCTCGTATCTGAGGCTTTGTGTAATCTGACCTAGCAAACTCCTATTTATCCTTCAAAACCCGCCTTACATGACCATTTCTTCAAGAAGCCTTCCTCAGAAGCATTTGCCGGAAAGACAGATTTGGAGGCCAGGTCTCTTGCATCTCAGGACACATGGGGTTGATGGGAACGACTGATGCTCCCAACATCATAGTCTCTTCCTCAATTCTTCCATTGGCCTCTCTGAGTCAGTGAGGTGCAGGGGTTCCCAGCCTGCATTGGAGGTTAGCAGACTCCCCCAGTAGGAAGACATGATTATAGGAAGTTTGTGGGATTTGAAAAACCAATACTTTACAGCCGGCATTTTCACCAAGAAATGGTGCCAGGTGACACACAACTTGCATTCCTCCAAATCCAAGGAGAACCTCAACCACAGGGCGAGAGCCCTTTAAAAGGCGGTCACGAAGGGGCCAGCGTCCAGCCCCGCCCCGCCCCAGGAGCAGTGGCTGGGCGGAGCCCAAGTCACACTGCGCATGCGCTATGCCCACGCGGTTCCTGGTCCGGGTCTCTGGTTCCTCCTGAAGCTACTACTGACCGGGAAAGTGAGGCTCAGACGGGGAGGTGCGCCCCCCAAACCCCGAGGGAACCTGTTTCCTTTCCTTGGATCCGCTGTGAAAGGCCGGTTCCCCGGCCACCGGCATCTTCCCCGAGCCTCCAATTTTTCCAGCAAGGGGGTGATCGAGGCGACATTTAGGACTTGGGCGTGAGAGAGAGTGGCTGTTCTTGGTCCCTAGTTACTCGAGGACCTGCAAACTAGGGGTGTAGCCTAGGTGACGCCGCCTGTGGCTGAGGTGGCGCCGGGATTTGGACCCGAGTCCAGCAGAGTCCAGCCTTGGGTTTCGCGAGGCCCTGGAGAACCAAGATGACCCACTCTTTGGTTTGTCCGGAGACAGTGAGCAGGTGAGAGCCCGAGAGCCATGATGGCGAGTCTAGGGGTAGTGGGCACTAGGGTGGCGGAAGGACCTGTGGCATGGAGGGGGCGGGCTCGGGCTCCGTGGGCGGGGGGCGGTGGCGCCTAGAACTGGGCTTAACTGTTCATCGACCTGGTGCCTCCGAGGGTGAGTTCCGTGCTGAATCGCAACAGCCGGCAGTTTGGAAAGAAGTATCTTTTTGACCAAGACGAAGAGACGTGCTGGAACTCGGACCAGGTGAGGTGCAGAGGTCCAGAGTGCCTTGAGAACTTGGGGGAACCCGAGGTGGGCAGGGAAGGACTATGTGCTGACTTTCCCGTCTCCCCACTTGTGAGTCAGGCATAGCCAGGCTCCCATCGAGGAGTGATCGTGGGCCTCAGTTTTCCCATCTGTTTTTAGGGCCCCTGCCAGTGGGTGACACTGGAATTTCCCCAGCGCATCTGTGTCTCCCAGCTGCAGATCCAGTTCCAGGGGGGCTTCTCCAGTCGCCGGGGCCGCCTGGAAGGTACTAGAAGGTCCTGGGAGGTGGGGAGTCCAGGGGGGATATCCTGTACTCACTGTATGCACCTTTCTTTGCTGCAGGGTCACAGGGGAGTGAGGCCCTCCACAACATTGTGGACTTCTACCCCGAGGACAACAATTCCCTTCAGATATCCTGCCCTGGCCTCTGGGGTGGGAGGATCTGTGTCTCTAAAAGCTTTGAGCCCACCTAGACCTGAGTGGAAACTTGCCATATTTTGAAAAGTGACCTCCGGGTCTCCACTGCATAATCTGGAAAATGGGTCTGCTCTGTGTGATGCTCAGAGGGGTTCACACCTTGCTAGGGTCTGAGCTGGGTTTGGGAAAGGTAGGGATGGAGGGTGGGAAACAAAGTGCCACCATTTCTCTTGACTGCTTGTGCTTAAACATTCTCTGTGCCGGCTGCTGAGGTGGACCGCTTGAAGGTGACATTTGAAGACACCACTGACTTTTTTGGCCGCGTGGTCATCTACCACTTGAGAGTGCTGGGGGAGAAGAAGGTCTGAGACCTCTGGGGATGGGGAGGACACCTCTCAAGGAAGCCCTCGGGGAATCACAGCAAAGTCCTTTAATTTCTGCACAGAAGGTTTATTGGTTCCTCTTGGGAAGGGTCCCCTCCCACTTCCTGTCCAGGAGCTGCCTTTGAAGCCAGTTCTGGGTTCTCCCAGCTCTGGGTCGACCATTTGGTTCCCTGAGTGTCTGCGTCCCCAACAGGCAGCCTTCACTCCGGGTCAGTGGGCCCCAGGTTGCTGTGGAACAGTTTGAGGATGTGGTTCTCGATTACCTGTTGCACTGGAGATGGGTAGGGAAAAGGTAGCCGCTGGAAAGGAAGCTGTAGAGCCAACAGGCACCATCCCAACCTGCACCGTTGCCCTGAGGATGAGCCAGGGCTTTACAGCCCTGGGGCCTGGATGGAAGACCCCCTATACAGACAACAGGGTCCGTGCCCCTCCCAGAGCAAGAGTGGCAGGGTCAAGGCCTCCTCCCAGAAACATCAACTTCCCCTGAGTTTGTAAAAATTCCCTTCCTTTCTTCCTTCCTCCCTTCTATTTCTTTCTTCAATGCTGGGGATGAAACTCAGGGCCTCACGGGACAGGCAAGTGCTCTACCACGGAGCCTCACTCCAGGCCTTAGAAATGCGTTCCCTGCCCCCTTGTGGTACCAGGAATCAGACCCAGGGGCACTCTGAGCTACAGCCCCATCCCTTCTTATTTTTGAGACAGGGTCTCACTAAGTTGCCCAGGCTGGCCTTGTAATGCATTTCTTGAGCCTTTTGGAGTTATAAAAGACTTCTTACCAAACAAAATGGGTGAGTTGTGATTTTCATGAAAATAATATAGGGTCTGTGAGGGATGATTTCCGTCTCACATAGAATAAAACTCTCCAAAGGGAGGTAGGATATTTCCTGAGCCCATCCTCCACCAACCAAGAGGATGGGTGGTCAGGATGTTCCCATGTCAAACTTGGGTTTGCTTATGGCCCCTGCTCATACCTACCTCCTGCCATGGACAGGACCGGGCTCCATAGCCCCATGCACTGTGGCCCGGCCCAATTCCCTCTTGGTGTTCTGGCCCTGGTAAGCTTCTATATCCTTCTCTTACTTGGACGCAGTGAAGTCCTTCTAAAGTCCCCGAAGCCCACCCTGACCACCTTGCTGTTTGGTGTGTGGCCTGTGTGCACAAGCTGAAACTTGGGATCTGCTGTCTGTAGTAAATACACCTTGAGGCTTGGTCCCAATGCAGTGGTGTTGGGAGGTGGGGCCTATTAGGAGGTATTTGGGTTGTGGGGGCAGAACCTTCATGAATGGATCAATGCCTTTCTCACTGTCATGGGACTGGGTTGTTTACTGTGAGAACAGGTTGTTTTAAATTTTAAAGCAAGACTGTCCTTCATGTTTTGCTTCTTACACACACACACACACACACACACACTGCCCTTCTACTTTCCACTGAGGTGCAGCAATACGAGGCCCTCACCAGATGTGGGCACCCAATCTTGGGTTTTCCAACCTCCAGAACCATGAGCCAGAATGTCTCTTTTTCTTTATATTATATATTACCCAGTCTTAGATATTCTGTTATAGCAACAGAAAATGGACTAAGACATTAAGATAGATACCCATCAAGGCTGGGTTGGGGCCTCCTTTGGGCTTCTCGGTGCCTATGCTCCCCCTCATGGCTCTGGTCACTGATATGCACTGGTGTGTCTATCCTCTCACGTGACAGCACCGAGAGCCAGGATGTGCTCGGGCCAGGTACACAGTGGTGCTCCATGTCTGCTAACATGAACGCACTTGCTGCTGGCATCTAACAAGTGAGGGAGATGTCCTATGTATCCGTTTGTGGTCACCCACCTATGAGTCCTCACCACTACCCCATGTCTCAGGCCTACCTTTCCGGTATCCCAGAGCCACGGCGAGGTCCATAGGGGTGTAGCCAGAGTCTGCCTCAGTGGTGAGATCAGCACCCCGGGCTACAAAGCAGAGCAGACATTGGGGTAGGGCTGGGCCTGGGGCTAGAAGCCCAGAATGGGACTTGGGGACTCAAAAGGGCCAGTGGAGATGCCTCATGGTACAGCCATGCGTTTGCCCATTGCCTGCATGACCTTGGACAAGGGCCTGGCCTCTTCAAGCCTCCAAAGACTATGGCTCTGGAGTCCCTGAGGCTTAGAGAGCTGGGGCTCGACTCAGTCAGACCCAGACCCCCATGCTCTCCTACCACCTCCTGCTCCAAATCCACCTCCAAGTAAAGCAGGTCGTGACAAGCCATGCAAGAGCTCAGGGTTCTCACAGGGCCAGATGGGGACCTGGGGCCTCCTGGGCTGGTCTCTACTTTTACTTACCCAGCAAGGCCTCAACACACTTCACGTGGTTCCCACGCACAGCGTACAGCAGTGGAGTCCCTCCATTCTGTCGGGGGATGAAGGCACAGAGAAACTAATGCTCTATCTTTTCCCACTCCTCACCATGCCTCAAAATCTCTGGCTTCCAATTGAATATGGTATCTCTTCCTGCTCATCACCTCACCCATCTTTCTCCTCTTCTGTTTCTCAACTTAGATGTCCCTTCCTCCATGAAGCCCTCCCTGACCCACCTTGGCCACCTTTGGGTTCCTGGGGCTGCCTGTGTGCCGGCCTTCACAGTACTATTCATTATCTCTCCATTACCTGTTTATGTGTCTGTCTTCCCCAGACTGGGAGCTACACAAAGTGTGAGAGTGAGTCTGTTTTTGTGTTCCTAGCACCCAGAGCAGACCCAGAACCTTCCAGGTGCTCCATAAATATTAGAGGGCAGAAATGGAGGTCAAGCAGCCCTGAGGGGCCTGGGTGGGTGGCACCTCACCCAGTCATAGATGTTGATGTCCACGTCACGCTCGAGCAACAGCCCCACAATGTCCGTGTATCCACCCATGCTGGCCAGTGACAGGGCACTCTCCCGCTCCTTGGCAAGGATGTGGGGGTCGGCACCCTGCGGGGGAGCAGAGTGGGTAGTGATGGGAGACATGGGGACATTCCCTGGGATCCTAGGGTCCCCCAACAGAGCAGCCCCATCTCATGGACAGGAAACCAGAAGAAGAAGCTGAAACTTCTGCCAGCCCTCAGGTCCCCAGGAAGCCCCCAACTAGGCTGAGACGCACCCACTCGAGCAAGAAGCGGACGGTCTCGATCTCTCCAAAGGCAGAAGCCCAGATGAGGGGAGTGAAGCCACGCTCATCCGGCTTGTTGATGAGGTTGTCACCTGGCAGGTGGGAGGGGTATCACCGGATTGCACCCCTGCCCTCTCTCCCCAATGTCACCAGAGTAGGGATAAGACAGGGCCTGGGGTCGGACGTGGCAGGGAGTTAAACACATGTGGATGCACGCACATGACATACTCACATGCACGTGTGGACACAGGCACACGTGCGGGCACTCACGGCCATCATCACTGTGAGTGGGCATGCAGAGCCCACGTGCACGCACCAAACAGGCCAGCACATGTGTGTGGACACGCACCTTTCCTCAGGTGTTCCTTCAGTTGGCTCAGCTCCCCCTGGGCAGCAAGCTGGTGGATGGACAGGGCTGGGGGCCAGAAAGAGGCAGAGTCCTCTCTTAATCCATGGCCTCTCAGCACCTCAGCTTACCCATTCAAAATGGCTCCTCTCAGCTCCTCCCACCATCCTAGGGCCCTACTCACAGTCTAGGGTGGCTGGCAGGGCCGAGACCTCATTCCCTCGCTGCCGGTTGGTGAGGGTAGTAGAGTGCTTCAGGGAGCTGCCTGTTGGGAGAGAGGAAGGGTCTCAGGTTCCCCTTGGTACATGTCACTGGGGCTTCCAGACAGATCCTCGAGGCTCATATCTACCAAAATTTGTGCCTGAGACTCTACGGGTTCCTCAATCCACCCCCTTGGGCACCCAGGTTCATTTTTGTTCTCCAGGCCTGGTGATGTTCTCAGCTCACAAAACAAAGTCCCTGCATTCAATGAGCCCACAGGCAAGAGCATCAGACATAGAGAAGTAGAATAAATGGAGCAGAATAAAGCTGCAAGTTGAAATAAGTTATCAGAAGAAATAAAAAGTCAATAAAAGGAGCTAGAAAGGAGGAGGCAGGAGGTGGGTCCATTTCAGGCAAAATGGTTGAGGGTGGTGGCTCCAGGTTGATGCCAAGTCACATCCTGGCAAGTCCAAGAAACTAGCATTAGGCGAATGTTGGGGAAAGCATTCCCACACAAACATCCTGGGATGAGAAAAATTAAATTCTTTCAAGGACTTCACTCAAAAAGTAACCCTCAGTTTCTCAATAAGTTAAACAGGGTCACCATTTGACCTCAAATTCCATGCTTACATATCCATGCCAAAGAGCTGAAAACAGGTGTTCAAACAAGCACTGGTACACCAACGTTTGTAACAGAAAGATTCATAGTAGTCAAAAGGGGAACAACCCAGGTGTCAACCAATGGATGATGGATAAACAAAAGGTGGCCCCACAGGTGCAGTGGTGCACACCCGCAATACCAGCAACTCAGGAGGCTTGAAGTCAGAGAATAGTAATGGAGTAGTATTCAGCCATGAACAGGAATCAAGGCCTGATCCTGTGATCCATGTTATAACATGTTACAACAAATGAGTACATGATGAATGAAAGAAACCACACACAAAAGGCCATCTAGTGTACAATTTCATTAATAAAGACAATCAGAACAGGCAAATCCATAGAGATAGAAAGCAAATAATTGATTGTCAGGGGCTGAGGGAGGGGAAATAAGGAGTGACTGGTCATGAGAACAGGGTTTCCTATTGGGGTGATGAAAATATTCTGGAACTAGATAGAGATGATGGTTGCACAACATTGTGAATGTGCTAAATGTCACTGAATTGTATTGCAATTTTGATTCTAACAGTAAATTTCAGGTTATGTATATTTTACCACATTAACAAAATGTAAGAGCTGGGCACACACCTGCAATCTGGCTACTTGGGAGGCTGAGGCAGGAAGAGCAAAGTCTGAAGCCAGCCTGGGCAACTTAGTAAGACCCTGTCTCAAAATAAATAATAAAAAGGACTGGGCATGTAGCTCAGTGGAGGAGCACCCCTGGATTTAATTCCCAGTACCAAAACAAAAACAAAACCCCAGAAAACAAAGTTGTAAAAAACAAATAAACCACTCTTGGGGGGTGGAGGGAAGAGAGAAGATGTCCTAAGTAGTGGGTCACAAAGACAGAAGTTTCATCTGGGGCTCAACATCCCACCATCATCAAATCCCAGGGAGCCAATTCCAGAGGTGCTATCTTACCCTGTAGTGAACAGACACTGGCATCTGCTTCAGGCTCTGGGGTGCAGGGGAAGAGGCTAAGGACTACAGTGTCTGAGCCATCCGGGGTTTCAACACCATGGTCTTCAGGGTCCCCAAGTTCTGGGGTGGGAGACTGCTGGGTCAGAATGAGGTCCTCTGCAGGCTGGGTGGGATCCATAGGGAAAGCTGGTGGAACCGCTAGAAGGGAATAGGTAATTAGCAGCAACTTTAATTAAGTAGTCACTTATAGGGTGGCTAAACTGAGATTCAGAATCATGGCCAGTGTTGGGATTTTAAAATCAGAGTCCAGCTACTTTATAAGTCCACTCTTCCCCACCATCAAGACACCTGCAACATCCATGCTTTAATGCCTGGGCTCTGAAATCAGCTGTCAGGGTTCTAATCCACACGCCCCCCCTCACTGGCTGAAAACTAGGGCATGTGATTTAACCTTGCTGAGCCTCAGTTTCCTCCTCAATAAAAGGAAGGAATGAGGCCTAAAAGAAATCATGCCCATAAATAGCACAGTAGAACGCCTGATGCTGCTAGAGCTCAATAAACATTCCCTCTGGTTGTTTGGTGGGGGTCCCCCGAAATGAGTTAGGGCTCAACAAAAGATGCGATTGTTTCCAGTCCCACCGGCGCCTCTCAAACCGATCCGGAAGGTCCACTCACCTCCCACTCACCTCCTCTGTCCCCCAGCGCAGCAAGCACGGGTCCCCCAAAACTTGGGGACCCAATTCATAAACTTTTCTTCTTCAATGGATGTAGCGGGGAGCAGGTTGGAGTCTGGACCCTCAACGCTCGGGCTTTCTCTGTCCGGACAGTGCGCAACTTGATACGCGACTGCTACCCCCACCTCAATACTCCCCCACTGCGCCTGCGCACCCCCGCCCCCCAAAAGTGCGAAAGAGCCGGAGCAGCAGGAGACGCTTCTAGCCCTTTAAGACTTGGGGGAGGGGCGTGGCTTCCGCCGGTGCCTAACCGGCGCAGTTGCGCCTGCGCGTTCTCTGCACAGCAGTTTGGCCGGGCGCGGAGGGCGGGGCCTCAGAGATCTCTGAAAAATTCATTGCGCTTGTGTTTCTTTATTCCCAGCTCCGCCCACAGACTTTTCCACAAGAAACCAATCGGCTCCAGTACGAATCGACAGGCGGAGCTTTCTCAAGGCGGAGGGGTGGGGAGAAGAGGGCGGGGCGTCTGAAATTTAAAGGGACGACTTAGTTCTGTTGTCTCCTTTCATAACACCGTCCTTTCTGTATTGCTAGGAACTTATGAACTTGTGCAGGGAGGGACTTAGTGGCAGTAGGCGGGGGAAAGGAGGGCATTTTTACGTCCTAAGTGGGCGATGCGAGGTGTTTTTCTTACACCTCGACTGCTGTGGGCAAAGGGGGTTTGGGAATTGAGAGTTCTTGCCTCTCCACCTGGTGTCTCAGGGGTATCTCTTCCCCCTCAACCGCCCTCAGGGCACCTCTTTCCCCTTAATCTCTCACTTTAAGCCCCTTTCCTGTCCCTGGAGGAGGAGGAACAGGCAGGGCAAGCCGGAACTGGAGGCCTGCCGCGTCCGGTTTCCGCAGGGAAAGTTTAAGCAGAAGTCCCAGCCTCTGGACTTCCTGTTCCTGTTCTCTGTTTCTGCTAGCTGCCGTCGCTATGGAGGAACCAGAGATGCAGCTCAAGGGGAAGAAAGGTGGGGCAGGGCCCCGGACAGGATGGAGGGGTACAGAAACTCTTGGAAACTCGAATTGAGAAAGGGCCTACATGGCAGAGGCACGGAGGGAGTGTGTGGTGGGGTGGGCAGTGACTGAACTGCCATGGAATGCCAGCTCGCCCACTGACTAGTTTTGAAACCTTTAAAATCTCTGTGCTTCGTTTTGGTATCTGTAGAATGGGAGGGGTATATTTCCTCCTAGGATTATTGTGGCGTGTCAATAACCGGATATTGGTAATAAATTGGAAGAATGTTAGGGGCGTGGTGATCGCTGTGTGGTTAGTGTCCTTAAATCGTATAGTTGGAGTGCCACGAGCTACTTTTATTTTTATCTTATTTTTTATTGGCAGGGGGTACCAGGGATTGAACTCAGGGGCACTCAACCACTGAGCCACACCCCCAGCCCTATTTTGTATTTTATTTAGAGACAGGGTCTCACTGAGTTGCTTAGCATCTCCTCCTTATCCAGGCTGATTCTGACCTCGCGATCTTCCTGTCTCAGCCTCCCAAGCTGCTGGGATCACAGGCGTGTGCCACTGCGCCCGGCTTACATTTATTTTTGAAAAACATATTTAAAAAATGTTTGGTGCTAGGTATCGAATTCGAGGCTTCAAATATTAGGCAAGCACTCTACCGCCGAGCTACACCCTCAGCCCTCACAAGCTTTTTAAATTATAAACATTATTTCACAAGGTACTTCTAATTATTTAGAAGACACAAGTACATTTAATTCTCTTTTTTTTATTTATTTTTTAGTTATCGGCAGACACAACATCTTTATTTTTTGTATGTGGTGCTGAGGATCGAACCCGGGCCGCACGCATGCCAGGCGAGTGCGCTACCGCTTGAGCCACATCCCCAGCCCCATAATTCTCTTTTCTCATTAAAAATACATTATGAATTACTACTATGCTAATTTTCAATCCAGGAGGACAAAAGGGAAAAAGTTACCCTCTTTTTCCCTGGGGCCAAGTTGAAGAAAAAGTATGCATTGCCCACTTGGGATTGTATAAGCAACCTCCTTTTGTCCCCCCTGCTACCATTATGTCCTTGCACATGCTCATAAGAGTTTAGAACCACAGAAGGGACATTGTTATGGAAGGACCAGGCCAGTCACCCTTTAAATTCCTTTTGCCCCTCTTCCCCCTCCATTCAGGACACAATGGTGAGCTAGACCAACCCACATAGATCAGATTCCTGTGTGGCTTCCCTTGACTCAGACATTTAAGTTCTCACCATGACAGTCACAGTGGGCAACAGCATTGGATCTACCTCTGTAGCAAACCATGATGGGTACTATTATTTAATTTTTACGGATGAGGAAACAGACTGCTTCATGAATTCAAGCTTTGTTTTTTCTTGTGAACATGTAAAGTAATAAATCACAATAGGTATAAGAGAAATGAACAACGGGGTGAGGTCCTGAATGAAGGAGAGGGTACAGGTGATTGAAAGTTGATGTTAGGGGGCTGGGATTGTGGCTCAGCAGTAGAGTGCTCACCTAGCATGGGCGGGACCCGGGTTGGATCCTCAGCACCGCATAAAAATAAAGGCATTGTGTTGTGTCCATCTACACCTAAAAAAATAAAATATTTTAAAAAAAAGAAAGTTGGTGTTAGGGAGAAACTTGCCCAGGGTATGACATTTGAGCTGAGACTTTGAGGGATAAATAGGAGCTAATAGGGAAAGGATGTCTCAAAGTAGAAAATAGGTGCAAAGGCCCGGTGGTGGCAACTTGTTCAGAGCTGGGCTGTGATATAGTAACTGTTGGTCTCATGTGAGTATTTAAATTTGAAGTGATTAGAATTAGGTAAAATTGAAAATTGAGTTCCTCTGCCACACTTGCCACATTTCAGGTGGTCAGTAGCCACATTAGCTAGTGGCTACCATTTTGGACAGTATTAATTACAGAATGTTTCCACTATCTTAGAAAAACTTTTGAACACTGCTGAAGGTACAAGGCAGGGAGGTTAACATCACCCAGAAGCAGAACATGTGGGGCCTTATGAGCCATGATAAGAGAAACAGATTTTATTCTCTGACTAGTAGGAGCCATGGGGAGTGTTTTAAGCAAGGAAAGGCATGTGATATGTGCCTTTGGTGTTCACTTTATCTGCTACATGGAGATTGAACTTGGCAGGAGTAGAAGTAGGGGAGACCACTGAGGAAGTGGGTCTAGCATCTGGGCAGGGAACTGTCATGCCTGGTCACTCACTGGGGTCCATGGTGTGATTAGAGCACTTGCCTAGAATGCACCAGGCCCTGGGTTCTCCCCTGTACTGCATAGAAAAAGAGACAGGTGAGACATGGGCTTTGTTTTGTGATAAAACTAGCAGATTCATGATGGGATAGGAAGGGTGGAAATTACTGGCTGTCTAGGAATGCCTTATGTTGAAGCAGACCTGGGAGAAGATGTGTGTGCCATTAATTACCAGGAGGAATGTGCAAGGGAGAAGGGGAAACAGGATGGGGTTAAGGGTGACCTCAGGTAAAATCCACAGAGGGAGATCTCTGCCTGGTCCTTCAGGGGGGCTTATAAGGATATATATGCCTCCAAGTTGTCCCAGCACTCACTGAGGGACAGGCACAGGCTTGCATATGCTGCATTGGTCAGTCATGACTAAGGGCCATCCAGGGATGGAGGCTTCCAGACCCTTTGGGTCCTGCGACATTATCAGGCTTGTCATTGGGTTAAGGGGAGTTTGAGGGGATCTGAGTGGGCAGATCAACTACAAGGTTGTTTGGAAGGGAAAAGACCAAATTCATAGTATGACAGTCTGCTCTGACTGTCTCCTGCCCATCCCTGTGGCTTCAGGTGACACAGCTTCTGGGGTAATGCTAGGTGCTCCTCTCTGTTCTAACTGGGCTCACAGTTGAGCAAACAGAAGCCTAATGTTTTGTCTTCTTGTCCCTTCCCCCTCCCTACTGACTGTTGACCCTGGACCCAGTCACGGACAAGTTCACTGAGAGCGTCTATGTCCTGGCCAACGAGCCATCTGTGGCCCTGTACCGGCTGCAGGAGCATGTGCGCCGCTCTTTGCCTGAGCTGGCCCAGCACAAGGTAAGCCCCACCAGCCTCTCTCTGTAATGGGCCTCTTTCTGGTGCCTGCTGTGTGGAACAGGGGCTGTCAGGGCAGGAATTAAGTTGGGGCACCAGCAAGGAGGTATATGATAGCTGAGTCAGGTCAAACCATTGGTGGATAGATCTGGGGCAGGTTTTCAAGGAGACGTCACAGTCTGCATTAGTTATAACCTGAATAATAACTGAAGACCCCAGGGAAGGGTGTGCCAGGTGGAGGAAACAGCCATTGCAAAGGTCCTGAGGTGTGGTGTCCAGTTGTTCCAGAACATCTGTGGAGAAAAGGGAGTTTCAGGATGAAAAGTCTCTGGTCACTGGGGGTGTGGCTCAGTGGTAGAGTGCTGGCCTAGCATGCTTGAGGGCCTGGGCTCTACTCCCTACACCACTAAAGGAAAGTAGAGAAACAACTTGGAGGAGCCCTCTGGGAGGTAACCTCCCCTACTAACAGTTCCCCTCAACTCCCTCAGGCGGACATGCAGCGGTGGGAAGAGCAGAGCCAGGGAGCCATTTACACTGTAGAGTACGCCTGCAGGTGAGCCACAGTCCCCGTTACCTGGTCAGCCTGCACTACTCTGGCCTCTGGGCATTCAGGGGCATTCCCAGCCTGCTACCCCATGAGCTCTGCCCTGCCCAATTCACCCTAATGGAGATGTGGTTGCTGCATCTTGACTCACCTGGCTATTTGGTGGATTCCAGCCACACATGTGCACACTGAGCCCCTGTCTTTCACAGGTCAGAGTGATAAAAGGATCCTGGGAAAGGCCCCCAGCATTTTCCATTCCCAGCCAGGCCAGAGAGTGAATGACAACTGGGGGTGGGCCAAAAACACAAATAGGGCTCTTTAGCTTTCTCTAAATCTCCAGGTTACATTTGTAGTAAATGGAAAATTCCACAGATTCACTGCATGGACAAACCAAATTTTGCTAGGAAGGCAAGAAATTAAAATTCCTGAGTCAAGTTATTATTTTTGTTTTATTTTTGTTGCCAGGAGTGGAACCCAGGGCTTGAGAATGCTAATGAACAGGTACTTTATCGCTGAGCCACATCCTCAGCTCCTGATTTTTTTTTTTTTCTTTTTTTTTTGGTGCTGGTGATGGAACCCAGGGCCTCCTACATGCTAGGCACGTGCCCTACCCACTGAGCTACACCCCTAGCATGTCCCATATCTTTTGTTTCAAACAATTCAGCAGTATTAAATGGTTGGTATAAAATTGAAAGATGTTAAAAATGGTCTAGAAATTCAGGAAAAAGGTTCAGTGGTGAACTTGTATTAGCAAGATGTTTATCAAGATGGACAATCAAACACAAGAAAAGCTGACTTCATTTGATGACATTAAGATGAGTGAATTAAGCTAGGCACAGTGGCACGTACCTTTCCAGTGGTTCAGGAGTTTGAGTCCAACCTTGACAATTTAACAAGCAGGGCTGGGGCTGTAGCTTAGTGGTAGAACACTTCTGGGTTCAATCCCTAGCAGCATTAAAAAAAAAAAAAAAAAAAAAGAGTAAATTAAGGGTTGGAATTATAGTTTCATGGTAGAGCACTTGACTAGCATATGAGAGGGCCTGGATTTCATTCTCAGCATCACTGTTTTAGTCAGCTTCTTAACCGCTGTGACTGAAAGTCCTGACAAGAACAATGTAGTGTAGGAACAGTTTATTTGGAGCTCATGGTATCAAGCCATAGAAGGCTGACTCCATTGCTCTGGGCTCTAGGTCAGGCAGAATATCATGGCAGGAAGGTGGGAGGAGGAAAGCAGCCCAGTACATGGCAACCAGAAAGGGGAGAGAGAACTCTCCTCACCAGGGATGAAATATAAATCCCAAAAGGCATGCCCCAGTGACCCACTGCCTGCAGCCACACCCTTCATGCTTATAGTTAATCCTGCCCAGTTAATCCTTTCAAGTGTATCACTGCACTGATTTGGTTAAGGTTCTCATAACCTGATCATTTCTCTTCTAAACTTTCTTGCATTGTTTCATACATGAGCTTTTGGGGGACACTTCACATCTAAAGCACAACAGCTACAAAACAAAACAAGAAAAGATGAGCCAGTTAAGATTCACCTTTTACCACCATCTTACAACTTTGGCCCACAAGCCAGCCTATTTAGCATAAGCATAATCAGGGGTAACAACCAGCACCCCAATTTCATTTGCCATTTTCACGCATGTTCTTGACCGATAATAAATGGGAGTGGGCTGGGGATGTGGCTCAAGCGGTAGCGCGCTTGCCTGGCATGCGTGCGGCCCAGGTTGGAACCTCAGCTCCACATACAAACAAAGATGTTGTGTCTGCCAAAAACTAAAAAATAAATATTAAAATTCTCTCTCTCTCTCTCTCTTTCTAAAAATAAATAAATAAATAAATAAATGGGAATGATCTTTTTTATCTCAGTAGTGGTGCTAGGGATCGACCCCAGGGCCTTGTGCATGAAAGGATTCCAGCCAGACCTGTGCACACTGAGCCCCTCTCTTTCACAGGTCAAAGTGATCCCCGGCCCTCTTTTTTGTTTTGTTTTGTTTTTTAATAGGAGAAATTTAAAATGACTCTTTGGGACTGGGAGTGTAGCTCAGTGGTAGAGTGCTTGCCTCACATGCACAAGGCCCTGGGTTCCATCCCCAACACCACAGAAATAAAAATAAAATGACACTTTTGTTTTTTTCTGCAGATGATGCCACTCAAGCAACTTTTTGGCACAGCAAGACACTGAACAACTTTGTAAATGTTTTTCTCTGGTGGCCTTGGGAAGGGTGTTCATTTATCAGTTGTGACACCAATGCCAGAACTTAGTGAAGCTTTGTAGTCAGCATCCCTAATTGATGATGGCTTATTTGTGATTCAGTCTAAACTCACCTTTATATCTTCTCCCTGCTGAGCTGATAAGTGTCCTTCAAAGGCAGGAGCATGTTTCTTAAAAAGAAAGTGATGTCTTTTGTCATTGTTTTCTATGGTGCTAGGGATGGAACCTGGTGCCTGAGGCATTCTAGGCATGAACTCTATCTACCATTGAGCTGTAGCCCTCAGCCCTACTGGGATATTTTTGAGGCTAACTTTACATGTTTACACCACCTTTAAAACTTTAGTTTTACAGGTAAAATGAAAGTTGTGTCTTGCCATTATGTGCTCTGTCACAGTGGTATTCGTGTGTAGCACAGAAATCCAACATCTGAATCCTGAGGGAGGTCCAGGGAATCACCAAGGTACCCACTGAGCTCTGGATCCACCCAGGGCCTCCTCCGAGCACATGGCAGTGGCCTTCTCCAGTGTTGGGGCATGTGGGACACTGGCATGCATGCAGAGCTGATCAGGCTTGTCTTCCCATTTCAGTGCCGTCAAGAACCTGGTTGACAGCAGTGTCTACTTCCGTAGTGTCGAAGGTCTGCTCAAACAGGCCATCAGCATCCGAGACCACATGAATGCCACTGCCCAGGGCCACAGGTAGCTCCTGGAACCACCTACCCAGTTGCCACCCTCAGCCTCATCTCTATAAGAACCATCTGCCAGCTCAGCCAGGAACTGCCACTTCTTGCTCTTTACAAAACTCCCTTTCCTTATCTCACCTTGTCTGGGACTTCTGCTTGTTCTTTGGCATCTGTAGCACCTACATCTTGAGCTTTGCTATGTGCCCAGTTCAGAGCTGGGTACTAGGAACACAGTGGTGATCAAGACAGGTGGACTCACAGCAACCAAGTATACACATAATGGATGAGAGCATTCCTCAGTGCTTTGAAGGAAGCAAAGGGACGTGGGGCTCAGGAGGAGGGGGACTGGGTAACACAAGCAGAGGTGGCTGGGGGATGGTGGTGTGGGGAGTGGGGAGTGCGAAGACCTTGGAACTGGGCATGCTAGGGAAACATCAAAGAGGCAGGGGGCTGGAGTAAGTGAGCAAGGTAGAGAGGTGGGCAGGGTCCTCCTCCTACCCAGGCTATGGTCTAGCATAGGGAGCCTTTGAGCCGAGGCCCAGACAGTCTAAAATGAAAACCACAGTCCTTGAATACTGGGGGGAGTTTTGGGAGCTGAAAGTAGTTCTTTTTGTTTTTGATGTTCATTATAACTTAATAAACACACATTTGAACACATGTGCCTGGGCCATAAGCTGGACTTCGACCTTAGGATGCATTTGGCTTCTGCAGGTTGGAGATTGATATACTTACGCCCCCACACATACCAGACATTTAGAAAGAAAAAAAAAATCTGCTGTTTCTCATAACTAAGACATGAGAATTGTTGAGAACAAAAAGCCTTGTGCACGTATGTCGTGGGTGTGCCCTCTTCCTCCCTTCAAGGGTGGAGGAGAGGGACAGAGCTGGCTCTTCAGCAAAGATGAGGCTGGGTTGGTGTTGGCAATTGGAACTAGAGTTCACTCAAAAGCCAAAACCAGCTGCCGGATTTCAAAATGCTTTCCGGTACCCCACTTGTGCTGCTTTACGAAAGTGCTTGTGCTTCTGAAAGACATGGTAAGGTGCCGTTCACACCTCTCTCTGCAAGTGCTGAGTGTGTCGCACTCAGTCCCCCATGGGTGAGTCCAGCCTTTGCGTCTGAAGTGGGCAATGGTCCCATGTATGCCCTGAGGGCCTAGGCCAGGAGTCTTGAGGGACCAGAGTGTGATGTAAACTCAAACCCCAGCCCAGCTAAGTAGCCTCATGGCCTCTGACTTGGGCCTCACATGTTTTATTCCAGCCCCGAGGAACTGCCCCCGCCCTCCTCAGCCTGATTCTGGAAGAATCCTGAAGGCCCCTGTCCTCCCCCAACCCAGGTCAGTGCCAAGGGTGGCTTTGAGCTTTTCTGCTCTAAACTAACCTGCCCACTTGGCATCTGAGCAGGGACCTGCTTGTCTAACCCCCTGGGCCTTCTCACTGGGCTTGTTGGGTGGCTTCAGGGAGTGGGGAGGAGACATTTGCAGACCCAGAGTGTCTGCAGGGCCTCTGCTATTCAGGGACCTTCTTAGTTCATCTTCCTCTCTCTGCCATCTTCCTGCCTCTTATCCAGGCCTTGTCCCGATCTCAGAGGTTCCCCCACTCTAAAGCTCAGAAGGGATCCCACATTTCCTCTCTCCTGCCAGGCCCTGTGATTGCTTCATGTACACATTCTCAGGCTGACCCCTGCTGGGCTTATATCCACAGCTCTGAATCCTCCCTGCACCACCCGCCTGCTGTTCCCTCCCTCCCTGGTCTTTATTTTTTCCTTCTATAAAGGTTACCTATTAGGTGACTACAAGGGCACAGGCTACAACAGGTGAGTGTTGTAGCACTTAGCTATTGTACATGACAAACAATTCCCAAACTGAACACCCTATAAAACTGGTAGTAGAAACATAGTTACAGAAACATGCAATTCTGTTACTTGGCTGAGCAGTTCTACTGGCCATTTCCTGGGGACACTCATTGGAGTTCAACTGCTACAGTTAGGTGTTGACTGGAGTGTTGGCTGTGGGGTCCAGGCTCCCTGTGGCCTCTCCAGCAGGCCATCTGGGCTCCTGGTGACCAAGTGCTAGGCAGGCAGCACTCACCCCACCCCCCTGTGCTTCACAGTTGTGGTATCCCACTGCTCAGTGATGTGAGCAAGCCCAGGGTCTTGTAGGGAGGGCTGCCCAGGTGATGGTGGATCCTGGAAGATGAAGCGACCTTGCCTGGAGAGTATCCCTGAGGAAGACCAATGTGTTCTGTGCCCACGGAGGGCAGACATGGCAGATTCAAGGCATCCAGAGGACCTGTTGGCCAGGTGCTGGGATCATCCTCTGTGCCATGAGGGCTTCTTAAAGGCTGAGGGAAAGCAAGTTGAGACAGGCCCCACACCCTCAGCTGCAGCAACCAGAGCCAAGAGGCCATGGAGGTCACCTGTGTCCAGAGAGCACTCCCTGGGCACCACACTCTGCACTTATTGGGCACTTCAGTCAGCCAGTGAGTCCTTACTAAGTGCTTGCTCATAGGCTTGGCTGTTGGCCAGGGAAATATGAGGAATCATGGATTGGGGGTTGCCTAGGGGCCATCTGGGAAGGCCTGAGCAGGAAAGGCTGCCTGAGGGGTTAGCAGCTGCCCCAGTGCCCCCCACAGCATTTTGTGCCAGCTCTAGGCCACACCCATCCTCTACCTCCCACCTCCAACCGTCCACTCCCATCACCCCATCACATCCCCACCCACGGGTTCCTCCCTCTCCCTTGATAAAGGACACTGTCCTGTTGCCCTTCCCTTTCCTGTATCATCTCCTGTTTCCTTTGCTACTGAAATCCCACTGTGTACAATCTTCTGGTCTCACCTTTGTCCCTTCAGACCTCTTTTTTCTTCTCCACTGGCTCCCTTCTCTCAGAGCCTTCCACCTCCACTTTTCCCCAAAGCTGCTCCTGCCAGGATCTTCAAAGACCTTCACAGATCAATCATCCCCTGCTTCTCCTGTCCCATGACCCTCAATATCATCTCATTTTACAGAAGAGAAAACCGAGGCTCAGAGAAGCGAGCCAGCCCAGGGTGGAGGCCCATGCCCAGAAGCACCAAGATTCACACCCAGACCCTCTGACCCCTCCACATGGTCCTCAGCCCAGGCTCCTCATGGGACAACTCTATACCTCTCAGACTCCTTCCTCACTGCCTAACCTGACCAGAGCTGGGCCCCTGGGTACCACCTTGTGCAACCCAGAGGGATTAAAGACAAAGCCAGTGGGGCCAACACAGACCTGTTCCTGCCGAAACCTCTAAGCCCAGCTAAAATCATCCCAAGACATGCCTTTTCTTCCTATGCTCTTACCTGCTCTTGGATCAATAATTGCCCCCGTGATAATTCTGATTGTGTACCCACCGTGTGTGGTATGTTCCTCATGGGTTATCTCTTTTCATTCTCGGACAACCCCTTTAGGCAGGTAGCACCCCCAAATACAGATGAGAAATGAGAGGCTCCAAGAGATGGTGTGATTTGTGTCAGGTCATGCAGTTTGAGAGCAGACCTGGGCTCTTAAGCCTCCTAGTTTGGTCTTAGCCCTGCCTCTGACATGCTGGGTGATACGGGGCCTGGTGCTGGCCCTCTCTAGTTCTCCCTTTCTCCATCTGGACAAGGAAAGCTGTACTGAGCATGTTCTATAGGCTGAGAGAGGGAAGAAGAGGAGAATGGAAAGCAGGAAATAAATGTGACCTAATTGGAGGGCTTCTTGGAATTTTACTGGAAGCTTGGGAAGGACCTGTGCTTCTTCTATCGGGATAGGTAGATGGAGGGAGGGACACTTAAGAATATTTCATGGGGCCCTGGATCCAGCTGTACCTGAAGTTAACACATTTCAATTCTTCAGTTTCATGAACCCTTCAATTACCCTTTTGCCAAAATTACTTTGATGTATTCCTGCAGCTAAGTCCAGAAGAGCCAGCGCTGAGTCCTGTGAATTTCAGTGTCACATGTTCTCAGTATGTACACCTCCAAGGCCAATTGTGTGCAAATGTTAGCCCTTAAATTATTTGTTGCAATAAAATGTATCAGGAAGATCAGAATAAATTGTTGGGGTAGCCAGGCTGCATCTCAAGCACACTCCCCAGCTTGGCAGTGAGGGGGGGAGGGGTGATGAGGCCCAGAGGCTCCTAAGGAGAGAATGGCTCCTATTGGGACACTGGGCCTTGTGAAGGGGATCTGGAATACAGGAAGTGTGGAGAAATGAGTCTCCCACCGCCAGGAAGCAGGGCTCAGCCCTCCCTCTGCCCTCCTAGTGTGTACCGGGAGGCTTCTGTGCTGCCATCTTGCCTCCCCATTGTAAATGACTCTATGGGGGAGAGGGGAGTCTCAGGTCCACCAGATTTGGGGCCCTGCTTGCTGTGGGGTCTCTACAGTTAGAGTCATTTGCTTGGCCTGAAGGTATCTCAACGTCATCCAACTGTCTTTTCATCTGTCCTCCATGTACCCATTTATCCAGCAAACATTATCCCTACTCCATGAGCCCGGGGATTCTCCAGAGCTAGGCAGGCCAACACGGACAGCAAGATCACAATCCATGGGACAGGAGACAGCTAAGATAATTGCACATATCCCAGACTGGGGGAGCAGTCATGGAGTGTTCTAGACTCTCCCAGGGCGCCATGTCACTTACAGCCCCCAACTTCAGCCAGCAGCTAAGAGTTTGCTCCTTTCAAGGGGGTTCTCAGAGCCCATGGGAGTCCTGCTTAATATGCATCTCATTCACACTTCGGCCTCTCCTCTGGGGGCACCCCCGTCCGCCGCCAGGGGGCGCAAAAGACAAAACCTAGGCCAGGAGCTTGGCCTCCAAACACATTATCTGCAGCCCTGGCTGGTCTTGGGGACACTGTGACCATTCCCCCTTTTTCATCTTCTATACTCTGGCTCCTGTTTCTCAAGAGAGTAAACTGAGTTTCCAAGGAACTGGATTACCCAGCAGGGCCTCTTCTAGTCCTGCACCATCAAGAACAAGAACAGCCTCTTGTCCCAGGCCCTGCTTGCCCCCAGATGGCTCAGAAATGGATGGGCAGCTGGAAGAGAGGGAAGGAGCCCCCGTGCCATGGGGCATTCAAGCAGAAACCTAGCGGTCACCAGGTTAGAAAAGACCTAGAAGGGATTCCAGGAAGTGAAGTATGGCGCCCTGCCAAGCTCCTTCAGATATGTAGATGGGCTGAAAGGAGACCCAAAGAAGGCAGCACCTGTCCCTAGCTGCTGTGGTCAGGAAGAGAATCAGACTTCTCTTCAGCTGTCTTTTTGGCCTTAGCACCTGGTCCAAGTCCTGGTTTTTACATCAGACCTGCTCTGCCATAGACCCCTGGGAAGCCCCTTCCTAGCCCTGTTGTCTCCCCCAACATGGCCCCAAGTTTGCTTCCCATCCTCACCCCCACCCCTCAGACCTTCTCTGGGGCTCTGTAGTATTTCAGGAGACCCGTGAAGACCTACCTTCAGGGCTGCCATGCACTGGGCCTGGCCCTGAGGAGCCCGCACACTGAGGGAGACAGAGTTGAACGTGCAGCCCCACCCGCTGTCAGTGCTGGGCTAGGTGAGAGTGTGGGGGTGGAGAACCCCAGACTGAGGAAGCACACGGATGGCTTTTGGAGGAGGGGACTTTGTAGGTGGACCTTGAAATGTGTGGCTCCTCCAGGAGGAGGGGCGGCTATGGTCTACACTTTTTACATGAGCAAAAAAGCTCATAGGGGTGAAGTGACTGATCTGAAGTCACACAGCAGGTACACAGCAAAGCTGGAACAGGGAGGCAGGGTTCTCTAACCCCAGCGCCTTCCCACAATGTCCTTGTCATGGAAAGTCCTTCAAAGTCTTCCTGTGCTGACATTCTGGAAGAGGATCTGGGAAAGCGGGGCATGGCTCTCCATTTCCCCCAGCCTCTTCCTTCACCCAGGAGGCCCCCCTCATCTCCCAGGATTCCCTCCCTGGACCTCCCCGCTGGCCCTTCTCTCCCTTCTCCTCCAACTTCATACTCAGACAACTCAGGGTGTCCGTCATCTAAGAAGGCTGAAGTGGAGACTCAGTGCCTTGCTTGTGGACAGAGTAGTGATGAGAGGAGGGACTGGGCAGGAATAAGGGCAAAGGCAGTAAGGAGGGACCATTGTGGGAGAAATATCGTGAATGATGGGATAAAAAACTGACCAGAATAGGAAGGGGGCGTGGGAGCCCGAATAGTGGAAGGGGGCAAGGTGGGGGAGGAGGGGGCAGGGACAGGGAAGAGAGTCCTAGTACTGGGCAGGGGCAGGGGGCAGGGGCAGGGGCAGGGGCACGGCGCAGGGGAGCAGCTCCAACCAGCTGGCCTCAGCTCCACCACCAGCCCTTTCTACCACGCCCCGGCTGCTCCCAGAGCTGCTCCAGCTGCCACCCTCACGTAACCAGAGCCTGCCTGTTGCATCAGAGGCAGGCGGGCAGCCACGGGTAAACAGAGCATTCCTTGGGGGGCCTGGGGCTCCCCAGCCACCTCCATGCTCCCCAAGCCTTGTTCTGTACCTTGAAGCTGAGGCTGAAGCCCCCAGCCGGACCTGAGCCCTGGTGTATATTTGGGACACCTGAGGGTGTAGTATTGTGTACTGGGTGGAAGCAAGGGACCCACTTATGGTACAGCATGAATCCTAGTTTTTATGTCCAAAGAGAAGTTTGTGACCAGACTAGAGGTCCAAACTTCCAATGTCACAGACAGGTAAACTGAGGTGTGAGGAGAGGCACGAGCCACCCAAGTCCCTCTGTTCCCTGCCTCAGTGTTCCCCACACCCGGACATATTCCATATGCTTCCCCCTGAGTCCAGGTGTTCAGCAACATCTCATTGTCTCCTGAGAAGGTGGACACTAGGCAGCCATTGAAATCTGCTCTCCCCTGGTATCTACCCCCAAGTGGATCCCCTCCTCTTCATTTCCAAGCCCCTGCCTGGGTTCTACCCCAACCTGTTCCTACTGCTTCATCTCTCTCCTCTCACCCTGACCCTTGACCCTGTCAAAGAATGTTCTGTGCTCTTCCTCTGCACCTTTGCAAGTGCTGTTTTCTCTTGAAAACTCCTTTGCCCAGTGGCATGCTCCTACTCATACCTGAAAGCCCACTATAAATACCCCATCTTCTGGAAAGCCATCCTTGACCCCTCTGGCACAGCCCTTGCCCCTAACTCTCATCTGTCCCAGTGTCCCAACTCTTCCTATTGGAAAAGTTGACCCCACAGGGACGGGGAAGTAGGCACTCTGTCTTCCTCAGATTGGGGACTTCCCCAGAATTCTCCTGTCTAGAATTATCTTCATCCCTGACCCTGGACTCAGTAATTCTTTCCACTTCAATTCACTCACCAACCCCCCTCCATTCTCTAGGTCTGGCCCTGTGGTCCTGGGCCCCCAGGGGAAGATTGAAAGGTCTGGGCTAGGGTCCAGTTTTACAAGGCCCACCAGAGCTGACTTTTGAAGTGGAAACAGCAGGCAGAGGGGAGTGGGAAGGACAGGAACATGGATGATGGAAGAAATAGGATATTCTTGGGACTGTGGGAAGAAAGGAGACGTGGGATCATGGGATCAGCAGCAGAGGGTCTGTCACCGTCCTGTGGAGGCACCCAGACTCACAAGTCTGGAGGCAGGAGGCACAACTGGGTTAGGCCACATAGGTGACTCCACAGCCCCTTGATGCAGTTCCTGCATCTGTATGAGAGGGAGTCAGCTGGGTCCCTGGGGCCAACAGGATCCGGGATCCAAGTTATATTTCATCCCTGATGGAACGAGTCCAAGCTTGTCTGAGTTAGGGAAAGGGTCCAAATCAAGGTTAAGTTAGGATCAGGGGTCTACAGTAAGGTCAGAGGCACCCAGCAAGGGCCAGGGAGGCCTGGCAGGTCTCGCTAGACCCCTGCGCCGTGTGTGTGTGTGTGTGTGTATGTGTGTGTGTGTGTGTGTGTGTGTGTGTTGCTGGGGTGGAACCCAGGGCCATACGCAGGCTAAGCAGTAGTCTGTCACTGAGCTACACTTCCAGTCCTCTCTTTCCCCTCTTAATTTGCCAGCGAACTTAGAGCCTTCCGATTCCCCGCCTTAGAACTCTCGGGGCGGGGCCACGCCCAAATGTCCGCCCACCGCAGCACCACGGTGACGCCCTCTATGCAAATGATTTTTCCCCGCCCAATCGTCTCCCAGGGGCGGGGCCGCCCACTGGGAAGGCACCTGTGGCCGCCGGCGCCTGGATCTGTGTGTGGCAGCAGCGGGTCTGGGAGCCGATTCCTGGGACCGAGCAGGTGGGTGTCGGGTCGCGTCTGATCGGGTCAAGACTCGCGCGCAGTCCTTTGAATGGCTTCTGTGCTCTGGGCTGGGTTTGGAGGTCGGGTGCGCTGCTGTGCCTCCGAAGGTTTGCGTATGTGTGTGTATGTTCAAGGAGTGCACTCAGAGAGGGTATGAATCCCTGAGCACGGGTCTGAAGGTTGTTTCTGAGTTGTGTGCCTGAGAGGTTGTGTTTCTGAGAGTTTGTGTGTCCAAGGGGCATGTGTCAGGTTTTGATGTGAGTTGGGGAGATTTGAATTGAGGGCAAACTGTGACAGCCTGAGTCCCTGTTATGTGTCTACGACTCTATATCTGAGATGCACTGTGCCCCTCTCTGGGTGTGCACATTTGGCATCAGCAAGACCCCTTTGCACAACTGTACACTGATGTGCTCTCCTGTGTCACAGTGAGAACATGGGCACAGAGCCCTAGAACGTGGG